ACGGCTTAAAGTCCCTCCCGGAGGACTTGTTCCCTGAATTTTTCTGCCCTTAAAAATTCCATGACCTCCGGCGGGTTTGAACCTGCGTACCTTGAGTCATGAGATGGGAACGTTACCCCTAGACTACGGAGGCCGCTAAATGGAAGAATATTAAAATTATTAAATAATTTCCTACAAAAGATTCTGAACTGTCTTATGAATAACACATCCATTAATCTTCTCCGGCGCTGTTTGAGTCATTATTTTTGTATACCTAAAGCTGTCACATACTATTTGGTGGAATAAATAAATTCAGATTCTTCATTTTTGAAATAAATGCAACAAACTTGACAATCAGTATCAGTCTGTTTACAGTAAGTATGGTTCTGCAAAAAGAGTATGGAATTAATATCAATCTTTATTTATGTGATGATTTTGATGTATTAAAAGATCAGTTCCTCCAAGCATACGCTGAGATAGTACCTCAAATTAGGGCATGGTTGCTTTTTCCCCACATCCTCTCTAATTCATTATTCACCCTTATCCTTGTTCAGTACTGTGTAGTCTGATTTACTGACAACATCATTAAATAAATTAAAAATAAAATAATTTTAGAGAATTACAGACGGAATGAAACTGTACAAATGAAGTGATTGATTTGGTTTCTAAAATATGTTGAGTTACATGACATGTGCCACTTCCTACTAGCATTTCATGTCTAATAGAGCTATCACACTGTCCTTTCTGCACCTCCCCTGATTCCTAAAATTACATCTGTAAATGGTGTAAATTACATATTGCTGAATGTCCTGTTGTAGGAGCAGTAATAAACATTTGTAATTCAACATCTTGCAGGATGCCAATTGTAACACTCGGGCTACACTTGTTCATGGCACTGATTTGTGACCTGGATAGCCCTGATCCAAATCATAATCGCTACTTGGTGATACTAGAGGCAATACTGTGGAATATTGGGTTCCAGGGATGTGTTCAGCCACTTGCAGCCTTGTTTGTAGCTTTTGTGGTGTGTCCTGTTATCTCTCTGACAGTTTTAACAGGTGAGTTTGTGGATCCAAGTACTGTCAAAAATTGGCAAGTGATCTTCTTTGGTCAGAATCTGTTATATTTTCAGTGTAACCTCTAGTTTATATTCTTATTTGATAGAACCATTTAAAGTAAGTGCACAGTAAAAGAAAATGTTAGCTGAAAAAAATACAGTTCTGTGTCATAAAAAAATGCTTTTTGTGCATATATTCTGCTGGATACTGTCAGTGAAAGTTTTGATTACCATATTTCATTCAATAATTCACATAATTGTCCCCCAAATTTTGTGATTAAAAGCTTGGATGATTAAAACATTGATTTATGAGAGTAGCCTACCATGAGGACTATCATAGTTGTTTTACTTATCCATTAAAGAGAAATGTTTTCACAAAGAAAACTAGGTAAGCCCTCCAGTTAGTTTGTAACAGAAGGTAGGTTATTTTCTTCATTTAAACTCTTTGTGTGTTAGTAACCCAGGCTTTGTGTCATATGGCACCTGTCACATGGCTGCAAGGTCATATCACATATTACATGGCTTGTGTTGACAATGAAGAACATCACTCTCCAGACCATACCAAATGTGCCTTCTGATGCTTAGCCCACCTTCTCACTTTGGATTTTATACCTATTCCTCTCTATTTAAGATCAGATGAAAAAATGTTTTGTTGGATGTGCTTTTTCATATGTATCAGTGGAATATGTGAAACATGTAAGGATTTTTTTAAATACATCATGAAAAAGGAGTATACATACATTACATGATAAAGTAAAGAAGCAAAAGCTAAAGTTATCCCTATACTTAATTATATAATAAAGCATAATGCCATGAAGGCATATTGGAGAGAGGAAGTATAGCTTCATTATTCTTAACCTTGGCACTAGATGCAAGTGGATGGTCAGCTTCATACCCCTGCCACTCTGCCCCCAGAAATAAAACCCTCAGTACCCTTTGGATAGGAGGCTGAGTGGGCCCTAAAGCCAGTCTGGATGCTGTGGAGAAGAGAGAGATCTCTTACTCCTGCTAGGAATTGAACCCACGTCAGCCAGGGGAAAGCCTAGTTGCTATACTGACTTGAGCTGTTCAGGCTGTATACATAAATTACATGATACCATCATTAACTGTGTAATGAAATATGCTAATATTCTTTCACATGACAGTGAGAAAAGTAAAATGTAACTATGTTATCTTCTCATTTACTCCTTGTTTATAGTTTCCTAATTTTGCTTTTACTGAGCCATAGATACAACATTTTAGGACCTGTTATGAATCCCAGAAGACAGAAAAGGTGACTGAGTAATAACAGTACATTGATGAGTAGATTTTTTCTCAAGAAAAAAACAGTTTTGTATTTTTACAAAATATGTTGCCCTATACCTCTGAAGTTGTATAACCAATATCAGAAATTCATCAAGAATTGGAATGATTCTTTCTGAAATGGTGGCAACAGTGCTATTAGTTTTTTTCCACAACACATCCCCTTTGATTTAAATAACTCAACTGTTATATACAGTCATTATTGTGTTAATGTTGTTGCAATTGTGGTAGTCAGTCCACATGAATTGAACTGAGAAACATGGTGGGAAACACCTGTGCATGAATCTTTTAATTGTGACATAATTAGCTTCAGAATAGTAATAGTATCATTGAAACTACTACACAGAATGAATCTGATTTTGGTAAATATTTTTATGGTTTGTGTGAAGGTTAGGCTAACCAGACAGATTGGCTGTACTGAGATATTTCATGGTTTTTCCTCAGTCCAGGAAAATGGAGGAACAGATTCTTAAATTAGGCCACAACCGCTTCTTTGAAATACAGCCCCATTTATTATTTTATGATCATCTTAGCATTTGACTCATTATAACTTCAGCAATTGAAAGCCTAGTTTAATCAAGACTAAATTAGTAAATCTGTAATTTGTATATATCAGTGTAAAATGAATGGCAACTGTTGCATCATTCGGCTTTGAGTCTTGATTTTGTTAGAGGCAGATTGCTCTTTCTAAAGGGTTATGACAGTAGCATATAACACTCAGAATTGCTGGATTTTGGATTTTGTCCATCATCTGGTATTTTAAAAACTAGGAAACACAAGGTGTAGGAAACTGGATCCGTATCCCTCCTCAGGTGAGGGGAGGAGACACCTACTCTGTTGGGTCCCTTAGAAAGAGCTAACCTCAATCACTGGTCCAGTGAGTAGGTGTCTCCCTCCTCACCTGAGGACAGAAACATATCCAGTTTCTGAAACACTGTGTTTTCTAGCTTTTAGAATGCCAGACGATGGATGAAGTCCAAACACCTAGCAATTCCAAGAAATGAATGAACTACAGAGTTGCCTTGGTAATGATTGTAGGCAAAGAGAAGTTAATGTAAAGTATACTGAAAATATGGGAAAACTTTGTTGTTAAACCACAAAAGAAAAAGTCTGGAATGGAAACCTAAGGAGATTTGAGGTCCTCATGATGATGGCTATGTAGTTTTAAGGTAAGTGTCTTCAGGGATATGACACTGTCCAGGTACCGATGTTTAGGAGGAGCCTGCTGCCTGCATCTGCAGAACAGATCGTGAATGTGTCATGTCCAGAAGACACTGATCCACTCTTAGGAAGTTCAGCTGTATAATGCTTCTTACAGTGGGCATGTTGCGGTACTGGCTGCGTCTCGTGTGGGATGCAGCTGCGTTTCACTTGCTGATAAAGAAACGTGGTAGAGTCCCAGCAAGCGACAGCTTTGTTGTGAAACGAATAGCGGGACCAGGTTTGGCATCCAACTACTACTTCCAGGCAAGTCAAATTCTACATTCTTTATACAGAGGCTGAGGAATGAATGCATAACATGTGGTCTGCAGCTGTGGCAAAGGTGACGGTGGTGGCAGCAGCAGCAGGAGGAAGAGGAGATGGAGGAGGAGGATGTGGTTTATAGGCACCTCATTGCTAATTTTATTTAAGCATATCTGTGGTAAACATTGCTGGAAAATAAGGAGCCTACTCGATTGGGTAAAAATGGTACATCTTACATACCACCAGTAATAGCCTGGGAGTTCTTTTTATAAAGTATGGTAAAACCACGGTAGGACAAGTATAGCTTATAACTAGGATTTTATAGTAATGACTAGAACCCTTGGAAATGTCAATTTCTTAATGTACTACATATGGAAAACTCACAAAATGAGGGCTTCTTTCTGACACAAGTGTACCTGCTACTGTTTTCGCATTCCTTCTTCCACCAGCTCTGTTTGCAGTTTTTCTTCTGAAATTGGACTTCTACTCACATAGGCTGCTATAGAGATACTTGGAGATAGACACTTTAAGATTCTGTAAGATTTGAGGCTTTCACGGCGGTGACTATGAAGAAAGCAGTCTTCTGGGATTTGGCACCGTGTATATGTGGTGTTAACCGACGTTTCGGAGGAACGTATCGCCTCCATCTTCAGGGTAGAAGAAAAAATATAAGATACGTTCCTCCGAAATGTCGGTTAACACCACATATACACGGTGCCAAATCCCAGAAGACGTGCTTTCTTCACTTTAAGATTCTGTCATACAAAACATAATCTTCTTCATTAGATCTGCAAGATAACATAAAATGCATCAGCCTCTACCCATCATTGGACTTCTGCATATTACTGACTTTAAACATCTTAAGAATTTACAGTTAGATTTAATTTAAGTGAATGAAATATTTAAAAATGTGTAAAGTAAATATATGTACTTTCCTTTAATACTGGATGCTCCTGAACGAGACCAATTGAGATTGAAACATATCAGGCTATATGATTATTTAGTCTTTAAAAAATTTGTACAAGGGAAACAACAATAAAGCATACACAACAAAAGTAAATGACATAAGAAAGACTGAAATAGCTTCCAAAAAGATATGGAAATATCCTATGAAAGAAAGTCACAAAAGAAACGATGTGCCTAAGGGCATAGGAGACAAAGTATACAGTGCAGTGGTCTCCCCAAATAATAAGCATTGCTTGATGATGGCCCATGTGTGGCCAAAACATGTAGTAAAAAGGGGTGAATGTATATAGTTATCATCATCATCAGTAATCTGTCAAGACAACAGGTCCACGGTCTCTTCTAAAACAGTTCCTCCACTTAATGCGATCTAGAGCTTTCTCCTTCAAATGAAAATATCCTCTTCTATCCCCAGGGTCATCCAGCATCTTCTTACGTCTTCTTCCCCGTCTTCTGGTCACTTCTATCCGCTCCTCTTATCTTTCCTTCAATAACTTCTTTTAGAAGGCAGTTACTGCGCAAGATATGACCAATCCAATTAGCCTTCCGTTTTCGTATTTCATGTAGGATATTCCTCTGCTCACTTACTCTAAATAACACTTCTTCATTTCGAAGCTTTCCAGTTAATGACATTTAAAATATTTAACAAACACTATTAGTGTATTAAATATATTTTTCGTGTTTGTTTTAAATATACTTTAATGTCTTTTATAAAAGGTTGACTTTGTTGCCTTGTAGACGGAATACTTATGATCTAAAATTACTTTAGCATGAAATGCATACTGAAAATTATTTCATTTTATATGTAATGAAATAGTATTCTTATTCAGTGTACTGGAACTGAGAACTTCCATGTAGTTAGTTCATCTGGGGAATATGAGTAGAATGATTCCCCCCACCCTTTTTTTAAATCTGTTCTGTAATATAGAAAATTTGCAGATCCGACCAGAGCAGGCGCTTGCAGCTTTTGAGGCTAAAATGGAGATGGATGAACTCGCTGCTTATCAACATGAGATGGAGCAGACAATATTGCAACCTCAGAAGGATTTCAGGTTTGTTTCTCCCAGTACTGTAGCAAGGCATTGCCTTAAACTGACATCAACAAAAAGTGGATTTCAGGTTGACAGTGCAAATTTATATCTGCATTTTCACACAGAATTTCATGTTCCAGTGTTATGATAGTGAGTGCTACCGAACTGACAGCTAAATGAATATGTATGCATTTGTGCCATGTTATTTCATGTTCTTCAACAAAATTACATTAACAGAAATTTCGTATTTTTCAAAGATTTCTTACCTTTCATCATTTAAAAATCTTACACAAACCTCACAAGTTGGTGTGATATATATGGACATCATACTGTATTTACTAGACCTTTTCACAAGGAAAGAATATATGGTTATGAGATTACCATGCTGTGTGTGTTTGTTGTGTCTATTATGTAATGTCTATTTGCCCCTTAGTTCAATTCTTGTATAGCTTCTGATTTTTGTGAAACTTGGTGTGAGCATTATGCTCATGCAGGCCACACACATACTTCATAATTTCATATGAGCAGTAGTGACAAAATGTCAATTATTGTACATGTACTTATGTGATGGAAGTGACACTTAATTTAGGATAGTGAAGTGATATATAGTAAGGGACCCTTGAAAAATATGCAACTTTTGTTAAGGTAATCTTCTTGTAGAATGCTAAATAACAAAATAACAGTCATACAGATATGTCATCAAGTTTCTGGTTTTTATGGTGATAAGTAATGAGTCGTTTGAACAAGGCGTGTGGAATTTGGAATGGAGATGAATCACAAACTCGCCTACACATTATGCATGAAGTATTGTTTTAAGTCTACAATTGCAAACAGAATCTGTGCTTATATAATAAATTCTTCACGCAGAAAAGATTAGTAATATTGATAATAGATTTGTGGGGCTCAAAATCTATGCAGTAGGAAAGCAGGCTCTATAAGTTTTGCTTGGAACTCCTTGTTAAAAAACAGGAAACAGCCTTATATACACTCAAACAGAGAACTATTATATAAGATTTGAAGTTTTCATGGCGGTGACTATGAAGAAAGCAGTCTTCTGGGATGTGGCACCGTGTAGATGTGTTAACCAACGTTTCGGAGGAATCGCCTCCATCTTCAGGGTAGAAGGAAAATAAGAAAATCCGCAAGTGTAGAGACAGTGAGAACCGGTGCAAGCAGTCTGTGATTCCTCCGAAACGTTGGTTACCACCACATCTACATGGTGCCACATCCCAGAAGACTGCTTTCTTCAGAGAACTATTAGGTTACATTATATGAAAATATTCAGCAAATTGGTAGTTATGCGCAACTCCCTGAATTTCTAGGTTGAATCAGGAAAGAGAATCATGATTCAAAAATAGATTTTTTGATCCCAAATTTTGACAGTTGCCAGATAACTTTCCTCCTCCTTCCTTGAAAACAAACTGATATATTAGGGAAATTTGACTTAATCTTAATCTTCTGAAGATGGGGGTGACATGTTCCTTTGAAATCCATTGGCTCTGAATGGAATACATGGCATTATGTCCCCGAAGATAGAACCCTTCATGACCACCGTTGTGAGAACCTCAAATCCTGAAAGTAAAGGGTAAAGCTATCCCTGTAAAAGGCCATGGAGGCCCATATGGTTGTGAGATGTCAAGACTCCCACATTTTCTTGATTATCAGCTCACAGATGGCGGTGAGGTTGTCAACTTTATGTGCCAGTTGCTCTTTACCCCCCAGTAAGATTCCTGGTACAGAGGCTGAGTCAACCCCAGGGCCATAGTGTGGCTGGAAAGATTAGAGCCATTGAAAAATCCAGTGACCTCATCAGGAATTGAACCCGTAACTTTCCAGCTTGTAGTATAGTGCCTCAACTAACTACACTAACAGAGAAATTCTCATTGTTGTCTTGATTCACAAAAATTTTCCAAACTCTTGTCTCAGGCTGAAAGAGTCATTTTCTTGTATGCCTAAAAATTAACCACATTTTCATCTGAAAACTTTCAAGTGAGTGAAGTATTTCTGTGTGCAGAGGAAAAACTCAAGGGGATAAGAATAAAAATTGTCAGTGACAAAATGAGCCATCATTATATATTTATCAAATCCATCGGTTTATATAAGATATTTTCCTTTTCCACATTTTCATTTGTTACTTTTCTCTTTGCAGCCAATTTGTGAGCGCGTGTTTTGGTCCATTCTCAGCCCAGCTTGCAAAAGTTGGACCATACAGAACTCTAGACAAAGAAGCACAGGATCTTATAGGAGCACTTCATGAGAAACTTGAGCGTAGACGAAGAGATTTACAGACAGGGCTTGGAGTTAGCGTTAGGAGTAAAATTAAACTTACCACAGTGGAGCTGAAGGTATGTCACATAATATATTTCACAAGGATTAGTATTCACTTCCTCAATTTTCCTTGCCATGTAGTTCGCTTATACTGGCTTTGAGGGCATTTTTCTGTTGTTTTTGCATATGGCTTTAATACTTTTATTTTAATATACTTTACTTTTATCATCTATACATCTATGGCTGTTACAGTGTAATAAAGTTACCAAAGATACTGTTCATGTAATTAAATTTTATTTTCTATTATTCTCCCTTTGTACCCTAATTTCCTTGTTTTGAAAAAAATGAAAGTAGGCTTATGCAATCACCGTGCTGTCTGTGTGTCTTTGTATCCCCCCCATATTAACATTTGAATTCCTGAACCAAACTTTATGAAACTTGGAATGTATATCATGGCACATGAGTGGGTCTCAACTGTGTACCTCCTAAGTGTCTCTCATCAGTCTGTGTGCTTGTATGTGTATTCCACTATTGTTAGTAGATAATGGCTTGGTATAAATGTTACTGTGGCAACAAATACTCTTGCAACAATAGAAGAATTGTTGGGTGCGTTTTCTATGTGGCCCATGTCATATCAAAAGAAAGTAGGCGATCAGTCCTTCCCAGAACATCTTCCTTCAACTTTAGATTTTGTAAATACCTTTCTGTTTTGAATGAGTGTGACATCTTACATTAATGTCCTTTAGAAGGTTTGCAGCTGAGTGTGTTAATACTATAATGTGTATGGGTGACTAAAGACGGGGCTTGGATTGGTAATTGGATTTATTGGATACTTTCAGGTCATAACTGCAAATAATTATAATTTCACACTACAAAGCACTCCATGCTACTCTCTTCAGTCTGTCTGTGACTAGTCTTCATGGATTTAAAACCACAGGAACTATAAAACTCTCCCTAAAACACACTCCCAATACCACTGCACTACGGCACACATAAAGTCTTCAAATCACATATTAAATCTTCACAGGCTGACTTCTTGTACCTCTCTATACTCCTCGAACTTACTTTGTTCACATGCTTCTGCCGCTGCTACTACTACTACTACTTGTAACTTAGGAATAATGCCCACTTATATAGCTGAGGAACACACATGCATCACAGGAAACACATGCCACATGACCACTATCCAGCCAGTCCATTGGCACATGCTGCACAGACATACAGCAAACACATGTTATGTAACTGCCATCTACTGTTGTGTGATCTCACTGCGGACCCGGAAAACACAGTTTCCTCAATTTTTGCTTGTTGGGCCGTGTATACAGAGCTGTTGCCTGGCAACACATTGACCAAATCTGTTACAATGCAATGGAATCATACTTGTCAAAAGGATCTGGTTTGAATCCTGGATGAGGTGGTTTACGGTTTTCCTCAGTTCCTTTGTATTATTATTATTGAGATAGTATCCCTGAATAGGCCATAACTGTAGTGTCCAAAATCATGAGCCTTAGCAATCACTGTTTCTAATAATATCCAAGCAAGCAGAAGACTTTTACATCCCAGTGTTGAATTTATGTGGAATGTTTTGTGTTGTATTTGCAACATGAGTTGGTTGGTACTCCAGGTTGCCATCCAGCAAGGAGCACTGATGTTGGAGAGATTCTATCCATCCCACGTGTTGCAGCGGCTTCCTATAAATGAGGAGGATTTCTGGGAATCTAAGGGATTGTCTGTGAATGATTGGGCTGGGTTAGCTGGCCTGATGTATGCAGACATCTTCAGTCTTGACTTTCTTACTCCACTGGATGACACTGATACCAGGTTCAGGTTGGAGGTAATAGTTCTTGGTTTTCTTTCTCCCCCCCCCCCAAAAAAATCACCTATCTCCCACACTGTCTTATAAGAAGGAAGTAAAAAGACTTTCCTCCTCCACAGTATCCAAACTGGCTCTGGGGCCCATCCAACCTCCTATCCATTGGGTACAGTGGGCTTTTTTACATTACATTACATTGCATTGCATTCCAAATTAGTTAAAATGACTGTAGGATGTGGAATATGTCATGGGGATAAAGTAGCCAGGGTGTGAAGCTGACCACCTCTATCTAGTGCCGAAGTCAAGAATAGCGGAGCTATGTCTCCAGTCACACATTTATCTTCGTGGCATGGTGCTTAATTAGTACAGCACAGGGAGAGCTTTTCTTTTTACTTAATTCAGTAGATTTTCTTCAAAATTACAGCCTTTTTTTTAATTATTTTTGGTATTTAGAAATGTAACTTTCAAAGGCTAATTGCAAAACTGTTTTTAACCAATATCATTCAAAATCTCTCACTACTACAGAGGGAGCAGCCGTATTTTAATTGGGATAACAGTATATTGTTAGGTAACAAGGGACTTCAATCTCCTGCTTGTACAGGGCTGGCAACTCTATTTTAAATAGTGGGTAACTGTATTGTTAAAAAATTCAACACTTGGTCATCTTGACTACACAATATGCCATAAAACTGACATGCAGCTTATGAAGGTTAAACAGAATAAATTTTGTCTTAGTTCAGCATTCTTCTGAATGAACTCATGTTGCCAGTCTTGATGTGAGTTGTACTGAGAAATTAAAAGTCCTGTTCTTAATCATTCTTTTGAATCATTATTCTCTATCGTAGAGGTGAGAAGGAGGATGGATAATTAAAAAAATCTGGAAATGCTCACTATCCATTCTGAATTCAACTCTACATTCACTTACTTGTTACTTACTGCTGGGCAGTAAACCACTCAGTTGATGAAGATGTTGAAGAAACATGGAATAAAGTTAAAGGCATTTATGTGGAAATAAAGAAATGAAAAAGAAAAAGGATTGGATGTCAGAAGAAACTTACTTACTTCCTTATGGAGCTGAACCCTTCTTGAAGAGCTGCCAATTCTGCAGCTACTCAAGAATTCCCCAGAATTTTATGGGACCCAAAGTTTCATTACTGTGTTCACAAGAACCCCCTCCCCCCACTGGTCCCTATCCTGAGCCAGATCAGTTCGTACCATCCCGTCCTATCTCTCCAAGATCCATTTTATTATTGTCCACTCACCTCTGCCTTGGTCTTCCCAGAGGTCTCTTTCCTTCTGGCTTACCCACCAATATCCTATATGTCAGAAGAAACATGGACAAAAATTATGTTACACAGTTTCAAAACAAGAAGCAGATCTTTGAAATTATGCTATTGTTACAACAGCCACATCAGCAGGTGGACTTAACAAGGTACACAGAGATGGTACATGGAGCAGAACTGGGTGCAGGCGGTCCAGATCTGTTGGGACCTGTGTATGCTCCAAGGGGCAATATACGAGTCCATTCGCCCTACCTTGAAGTATCAGCTTTTAATCCTCGTTCCAGAGCTGCTGCTACTGGTCGCAAGCAGGACAAGAGAGGGTGAGTTTCTTCAAACATACTGTTTCAGAAATTGAACTGCTTATGTCCTCAGGTGTAAGGAAGGAAATGTTCATATCAGCTATGGCCATTTGAAGGAGCCAGTTTTGATCATGGAACAGAGAAAGAAGTTCCAATCACAGTATATATTCTGTCAACATACTTATGTTTTCTGATGGTAACACAATTTATAATTTAGTTGCCCTGTGATTGTCACTGGATCTTTCTAATGAACTCGGCTGAGTAGAACTTTTCCTCCGTTACACCCAATGGTAGAAGCAGATCCATTTCTGAAACACTGTGTTTGAAAACTTGAGAGGTGGACAGTGTCCAAAATAGAATCATGCTTACTATTAATCTGAGAAAGCATTTCTTTTTTTACAATATGAATAATAAATAAGAAAAATCAAGTTTTAGTAGTGTTAATATTATATTGTAGCATCTTGTTGCACTTTCACTTATTGTTTTTAATTAGTTCTACAGTCTTATGTGCAACAATTTATTAAAACTTAATAAAAGCTAGTCACTTCAAAAGTTTTCATGACATGTTTTGATCGAAGTGGTCATCATCAGGTGTTAAAAGTTGTGGATGAGGAAACTGCTGTCTTTCTGATCTATGTTTATTTGTTGATATATGGTCCCCTTATTGTGCATGTGTGTATTCCTCATAATAAGACTGTAGAACTAGTTAAAAACATTAAGTTTAATAATGTCAAATGGTAAGTTACAAAGGCCAAGAAAGCATCCCTGTAGTATGAATGTCAAAGGTTATCCAATAGCTGAGCAGAACACCAGGGCACATCCTCTTTGTGTAACAAGGTATTAATGTACAATTGGGTCAGGTTAAGAGGTCCCCAATATTATTATCCTTTCTTGACTAATACATTCATATTATTTGGTTCCAAAATTTTCCTATTACACTAATTTATTTTTAACTCTCTTAACAGGTTTCTCACATAAGATGTGTTATTTTAACTTTATGAAATTAACATTTCAGATAGTTGATATGTTTTTGGTAATTCTTTCCTTCCAATCTGACTTGTTCAGAGAAACTTTGCCCAATTATAAGAGATGGTTATAGATGGTTTCACTTCTGCTGGCTAGTGCTCACATGCACCTGAAATGAGCAAAGGTTAATGGTCATCCATATATGAGGGCTCGCCGATGAATCTAAATAGTCATCGATTTTATCTTTATGTTTTCCACCCGTTCTGCCATAATTGCAGAAGTAATAATCAACTTTCAACTTTATTTTCATCCATAACTGAAGTGAATACTATTGGACATGTCAAAAATAACAGCGAATACATCACATATCAAAGTCACATAAAACTTACACAATGATCTATAATAATAATAATTTATTTGTAAAATTCCGTCAATCCAATCTAGGCTACAAATACGCCTGATCAATATAGAACCAGTCACAGACAAGTAACTAAAACACACATGCTATGAAAATAAGCATAGGTCAGATCAAACAATAAACCAAACTGTTTATCTTCCTACTTTAACATTAAACATAACAGCATCTTAAATTTAATATAGTAAAAAATAATCATACCAAATGGTAGATGATAACATATTTATGCCAAAATAAAGCACCTCTGATACATAAAAACCTTAAAAATTCACATTAAAATTAGTAATTACTGTTAAAAAATATTCAGTGAATAAAAAGAATTCAATAGAAGGTAGTTTTTTAGAGTATTTTTAAATTGATTCTTATCATCAGACAATTTTTTATGCAAGAACTTAAGTGATTAAATGCCTTTGTACCTGTATAATAAACACCATTTTTATAGATAGACAACCTTGGTTATCTATCAAGATAATATGACAACCGTTATAAGGTACTTAACAATAAAGATGCATAAGGCCAGAAGAATAATATCAGTAATATAAAATGCATAAACACAGTATTAAAAATTGCAAACCAAAAGACAATCAACAAACTGGTCATCAGTCCAACATTAGTTGAAAAACTCTTGAAGAGAATAGAAAGTGCTGCTTTCCAGTATGACAAGTATGTTGAATGTAAAGACCAATGTAATTAACTCTGATGCTTCATATGAATTTGTATACTTTTTACTTCCTTCTTTGGATGAGATTAATTTGCCTTAAAAGTTTAGCCATCACCACCATTTCACAACTGCCACTATCTTCGATCTATCTTCTTTATTCCTGTTGCTCCCACTTGGAGCACAGGGCATCCTTAAAACACTTCACTTCACTTCAGTTTCATAATCTTGGACAGTCAGTAGGACTCCTTTGGCAGGGGATCAGCCTGGCTCAAGGACACTACCTATACACAAACACAGAATAAATGCCATGCCTTGAATGGGATTCAAACCCAAGATCCAAGTTTTCATGCGAGCAAAGGTAGTTCATGCATTAGACCATGCTGCCACTGTGATAGGCACAGCTGTCACTAACAGTGCCATTATTACCACATATCATCACAGTAATTACTGCCACCATCACTAACATTGTCTTCACAACTGCCATCATCATCATCACCACCACCAGCGTCACTGCCATTGTCAGTGTCGTTCTTGTATCTCTCATTTTGTGATCATCACCTCACAAAGCTATTTTTACCTCTACATTTTCTCTTTTGTTTTTCTTCAGTCTATTTCCATTCTGTCTATATACCCTTTCACGTGACCACTCTGCCACCTGTATCAGATTCCCAGAAAGTTGCTTGAATATGTATCTAAAGTTGTCTTGAAGTTAATATGCTGTTGTAGAAGCAGTCTGTCACAGGGTCAGGTAATGCCAGATGTTTTTTCTCTTTAGGGTTGAAGAAGTGCTTTATTTAAAGAAGACATTTCTAAAATATATTCAGTTTGTTTTCCCTTTACTCCTTTTCAAACACCAGTATGATATTTCAAGTTCACTTAACATGATTTTGAATTTATTATGCTTACCTTGTCTTAGCCCAAACACCCAAAAATGTATGCATGCAGGAGGAGAGTAATGTGTATGTAAATTTTAACTGGGAAACCCAAAGGGAGGAGTTCAGTTGGTAGACGCTGGCATAGAAGAGAGGACAGTGTTGAAATGACCTTAAAGGAAACAGAAATTAAGACTGGGTTGAACTGATTTGGGTCACTGTACAGGGGTGAGCTCTTGAGCAGTGTAATGAACCTTGGTGTTCCCTAAAAGGCAAAAAATTTTGTGACCAGCTTGAGCAAATGAACTTCTCAACAGGGATTTATCTGCTCCTTTTTATAATCCAGTAATGTTATATTTTAGTAATATTAGCATGTCATCTAATTATATGATACATGTTAATTTTACTACTTTTATGCTGTGTAATTTAATATGAAAGACATCCATTTTTTAACATTTGAACATGTTATGTCCAACAGGGAGACTGGTGGTGGAATTTCGACAAGTCATGGCCATCGAAGAGCCAACATATCATCAGGTTCTGGGAACATTGCAACAATGTGGCACCCTTGGAAACAGCATTCCCATCCGTACAATGCAGAGAAACTGCTCATTCCTCTCCCTGTGCCCCATCCAGCACACATCGCTGTTACAATTCACAATCGTGACAGTGAAGATCCAATTCCTTTAGACTCGGAATTGTGTCAGAACATTCTTAAAGCTGTTGAGGACTCTCATGCTCACCCTTTCAACACTCAAGAGGCTCTTGAAGATATAAGAAATGTGGGTCGTTTTCGAGGTGGTGGCGATGGCAGTTTGGATTCTGTTGAATCACAGATTTCAGTTAGTGGTGTGGGTGGAGAGGATGATGGACATCAAAAGGAAAGTGGTATTGGTGAAGGTGGCGAAAGGGAAAGAGAAACAGAAGGTGAGAGTTTTAGGTGGAGGCATATGGAGTGGGGAGAAGTGACAGCACGAAGAAGGAATAATTCTGGAACAGTTAGAGTTGACCTGGCTTCACCAGAAGATGTCACATTGGACACTGATGCAACACGCGTGGTCTTCAGTTCATATGGTACAACAGTCTGAAAGCAAAGAGGACCAGCTAGTGCCTATTTGTTAATGTTGCTGGCACATGCATGAGAAGCCAAATATGCTAAGTACATGGCAGGGAGAAGTACACTGTAGCTGGGACAAATTATTACATATTTAAGTCAGAAGTATATATCGTAAATGGAACATATAAGGGAACTCTTTTGAATCTAAATATGTCTGCTCATCTGTAAATATTGCTGAAGGAATGTAAGATTGGTAGCAGAATCCAGTCAACAGCGTTGTTATCCCAAGCTACATTTCATTTCAGTTTTTCATAATGGCAAAGATTGAAGACCACTATTATGTGGGAGTGGAAGTTTTGAATTAATTTTGATTGTTAGTTTTTGTTAATGGGAAGACTGAAGTCTGCTATTGTGTGAAATCATGGAAGTAAGAGTTCTGAATTAATTTTAAAAATTTTTTGTGATACAGAAACATTAGATTAGTCAGAAAATGATGATGATCCTAATGTGTGAGATTTAACATTCGCAAGGCAGTGACTATGAAGCGTACCAATTTTGTGGACATTACACTGTATAGTCCGGTAGTTTACTGATGTGTTGGAGGAATATTTGTCACTATATTCAGGGCTTTGACCTTGAAGATGGAAACAGAACACATTCCTCTTAAACTTCTGTAGGACTATATGGTATAATATCCCAGGAGATAGTATTCTTCATTATCCTAGTAATTATAACAACAAGAACACAAGATAGACACCAATTTATTAATTGAGATTAAATAATGGTAGATAATGCAGTGGGCCAGAAACTTAAGATATGAATGTAGAGAGGGTGTTTGACACTTTTTTAATCTAATGCTCTCTAAATCACGGTGTGAAAATGTAAATGTTGTTTGTAGTATCTGTTAACAGTATCATAACACTGGTATGAATAGCATTACCATTATAGTCTTGTAATTCTTTTTTGTTGTTAAATATTTTCTTTCAACTTCCGAGTGCTCTGCATATCTTGAAAGGAACTTGTCCTAAAATCTAAAAGAATATCATTATTATAGGAACATTGATCTGTAATTGGTAGTTTGCACTAGTGATAATGTGCGTTTTGTTTTGTTTACTTTCTTAGCTTGTTGAATCTGTAAGCAATTGTGAAAATTCCTCAACATCTTGCGAGATGTTTTTGAAAATTGCTCAGTGAATGTTACAGTGAGTAACTGGAAGGTTGTAACCATGTTTTCTTGTGAATTTATTTTTGGGATATGGCTAAACAAAATCCATTCAGAGCAAAGAGTCAAAAGCCATTTAAATATCAAAATCTGGAAGTGTTGTGAAAATGTATTTGAATTCTTGAGATTTTTATTAAACATTCTATGTACACAATTCATATTATAAGATCTTTTTTTATTTCCAGGATGACAAAGTCTTCTTACATTGCTTTCTCTCTTGTAGTCACAGAAGAGGTCCCAATATAGCCTGTTATTTCATAATTGTTCTGGTGTTTCATCAGTAGTAAATACTACAAGTTCTTTTTGTATTAAAAGGAACCTAGATTTTTTACACATGAAAGAGAAATGTGCCTAAGAAATAGAAATTATTTTCCATTCATTTGTATTTATTTTTATATCGTCCTTACATTGACATTAAGTGTTATTTTAATACTTCTGAGCAAATAAATTAAGTTTCAATAAAAGGGATTTCTTTTAGGGTTCAAGGGTGAAAGTAAAATGAGTGGCTGGTGTCATAGGAAGGATCATGTTTGGGTTCTTATCCATGACAGAAGAAGTTTTCACATAGTGAGCCCTTTATTATGGCCACAGAAAATTCAATACAATTAATTTTCCTTAATTGCTTTAATGTTATCATACAATAATAGTTAATTGTACATTTTTTGTGTGTTGAATAAAATTTAAATTGTGACATGTGAAATATGAAAGAAATATTTTTTCTTCATTTATTTGGAATTATTTTTATATTCTTCGTGAAGTCACACTAAATGTTCTTTTGCTGCCTCAGAATATGGTGTATATTAAATTTATATAAAATGGATTTCAGTTAAAACTGGAATTTGTAAAGGAGTGGCTAGTGTCATAGAAAGGATGGCATAAGATGTTTTCACTGGGCCATGTAGTTTCTTAGCAAAAGAAATAAAATTATTTACCATAATCCAACAGTCGAGTTTTTCAGAATGTAAGTATCAGATAGCTTTTGTATTTTGATGATGACATTTTCAACTGCTCATTGTAGGCAGAGCTATGTCCTAGTCTTGTTTATCTTAGAACTGATGTCTTCTCTGAGTAGCTGAGAATGTCCCCTGTGTTGTGTGAAAGCTTCTGCTACCTGCATCTAATTTGTCAACTAGAACCATTACAACGATGACTAGTGTCTGTTCTTAAATTCTTATTCACCTTCTTATATACACAAATTAATATCTCTCTATATACAACTATACCTTGAACATATGTCATCAGATCTTTTCTATAGATAAAATTGGGTCATTAGAATGTGTAAGGAGAATGGATGAAACTGTAAAGATATGAATGTATGTGTGATAGAGGGGGTGACTGAGAGTAATATACAAAACTCTCAGTATTCTGTACAGCTTGTATTTTTATTACAGGATTGTAATCTTACAGTTTTTGTTAGAATAGAAATTCTTTATATTATTTGTGTTATTGTACATATTTACTGCCCTGTAGAAATAATGGCTTTCAAAAAGAAAGACAAATTACACTTTCATTATTTCTGATACATCAAAGTCCTTTTCAATATAGGACAGGTGTTTCGAGACAGCCAGCTTCAAACAGATGTACAAATTAATTTAGGTATGTGCAATCAAAACATGATTGGACATGTTGGGAAGTACGAGTAGATCACAGTTGAGTGAGTGCCATTTTCTTGCTAGGATTTAACTGTAAATACTGTCTTATTAGTGGACTGGCTCAGCATTTTCTTTATTTCTTTCTGCCATCATGGTAACAGTTAAAAGTTTCAAAATAAATCTACTTTGCATAATAATAACAAATTTAAAGACATAAAATACCTTTTCAAAAAGTGCTTTAGAATTCTCCCTTGTGGTTTCAGTCTTGAAGGTGGGGTATACAGATATTCTCAAGTGGTCTGTGGCAAAAGTTGTTTTATTATATGAATATTATGTGTGTCAGTCATTGCCTATTGTCTGAGGTTTTGTGGATAATAATTAATGGAAGATTTTTTTATTTAACTAAATTGAATTTCAAAAGAAGATCTTGAATTTTTATCACAACATGAACAGAGCAATAAACACATTTCTTATTCTTTTGCCACAAACAATGCATCAAGAGTCCTCAAGGGACAAAAAAATTGAAATTATATTATAATGTACCGAGAAGTACAGTTTCTTTTGCAGGAATTTGTATATGCTAAGTGGTGACTGAAAAGATGGTAACATTAATGTGCAACTAAATAATGGGAATTAATTCAGCAAAATCTATATTATCTTTTAAATGATATTCTTATCATTATTTTAGCAGTTTTTTGTACCAAATTTGCACATGCACACATTTGAAGGAAGCGGTATGGTATGACCACGCCTGTGCCAGTACTTTAGCAATGCTGTGGGTTGATTTGATCCCTCAATAAGAGAAAGGTCTGTGCCTGACACTTTCAAGGCCACTTCATCCCATGGGAGAGCACCTGCAAGTTAGACAGATCATGCTGAACAATCTCGTACAGATAGTGAATACAGGAGACCTGTTATAAATTTAGAATTACTGATGCATATTACAATTGGGAGTAAAATGTTTATGATAACTGAGTATGTTGCAAAATGAAGTGTGATATCAAGAGTAATGTCATTAAATTACTGCATTATAAAATAGTGTGTCTTTAAAAATATATATATACAACTGGTAGTATGTTTGTTAACTGTAATTTATAAACCTTAAATACCAAAGTCATGTATGATTTGGGTCCTTTAGAAACAGCTGACCTCAGCCACTGAGTGATTAAGGTTAGCTCTTTCTAAAGAATCCAACAGAGCAGGTGTCTCCCATCCCTCACCTGAGGATGAAAACAATCCAGTTTCTGAAACTTCATGTTTTTTTTTTGTGTGTTCTTTAGAATACCAGATGATGGACAAAGTTCATAAACCGTATAATCATGTTACACATCATTGTCAGATTCCTTTAGAGTCTACCACAAAATTTGGTCACCATTCACTAAGAGAAAGTGGAAATTTATGCTTTTATGCAATATTTTCTACTTGCCTTGCCGTCTTTTTAAATTCACTTCTATATCCAGATGTCATCCATGGGCATAGATACCTCTTTGTCACATATTTCAGTGACCTGGCTGCTATACCTATGATGACTATGGAAGCATAATGTACATTCTCATATTCTTGGGAAAATGTAGATTTTATTTTTAGTCAACTTATGGTTAGCAGGTTAATCATTTCTGTTTTGTTGAAGATGTGAATGCACTGGACATCATTGTGTAATGAACTATTCAGTTTCTGAGTTATTCTATATGACTGTTTATTATCAGTACCACACAACTACCTCTTCCAGAACCAGTATGGTAAAACAGACATAACTCCTAGACTCCGTCTGTGCCCTTTTGCTATGAAGTCAGTTACAGTTGCACAACCAGTCTAATTCAATTCCTGTCCAGGGTATTTTATTCTGGTATTTATGGCAGTTATATGAAGAACAATGGTTAGATGCCAATTCTCATACCATGGAGACTCAGTTTCATACCCATGCCTGTCTGTTGATCTTCCATGGATTAAGTTGCTCCAAAGCAGATTTTTCTCCACGTTTTTCAAATTTCCCCTGTTATTTATTGCACCATTGCTGTGTATAGCTCTACCATCATTCCCGATGTGTAAGATCAAGGAAATCGGAGAGGATGTGATGTGAGAAAGAGATTGAAATGGTATAGTGGTTACGGGAGTGTAGAAGAATTTATTCCAGCAGAAAATTTTACATTTCTTTATTGCAACTGTCACAACACAACTAATATCAAGATCAGTGCCTAGTTGATATTAGTTGTGTTGTGACGGTTGTAATAAAGAAGTTGTTTATTATAACACAACAGGATGCACGAAATGAAAATTTCAAGAGTAAATTTGTAAAATTTATGTAAAATTTACAAATTTCAATTGTAAAAGTATTAATGTTTCATTTCATCCTTGTCACCAGCTTTCAGTTAAGACTTCTTAAACCTTTACCTTTACATGTAGCTTTTATGCTACTTGCCATTGAGGTCTAGGCATGTGTGAGTCTCTAACTTACAAGATTGAATAAAAAAAAATCTTCATTCAGAAGTTAATTTTTTCATCTAACATTTTGAGAATTTGCAGATAACTGCTTTGCTCAGCAGCACATAAATTATGCAGTTAATTATAAATTTCATAGTTGGCAGTGTTAACACAGATCATCTTGTCAACAATATGTCTCGCCTTCTCAGGCTCTGTCTGTCCACACAGCATCTTTCTCTGTTTCTGTGCTTGACATTGGTGCCTGGCATTTAGTGCAATGAAAAAGTGACTGTTATTATAAATTGTGATTACAGTGAAAATTTTGGTCTAGAATAGAGTATTCTTGTTTTTGTGTCATTTGCATTTTTTTTTTTTCAAATTATATCTTGAAAAAAGTAATTCTGACACATGTATGTATATATTATTTACGAGAAATAAGGTATAAATTTAATTTATTTTTTAAATCAAACTTCTTGTGTTTTCTGATTTGTGAGATCAAAATGGTGTTTAGTCAACACACTGCAATAATTACAGTATTCAGACTAAGAAATAAACGTGCAGACAAGTTGGTTTAGAGTCTTACTTCAATTAAAGCAGCATCAAATAGCCAAATTGGTGATAATAGCAAATTTAGGAATACTGTTTTTTTTTATTATGCCTAGATGTCTCCTTTCAAAACATACTGCTTTGCCATTTTTCTAGACTCAGGGGAGTCGAGTACTTGTTAAAAATTGCAATAATTGCAATAAAAACTGATGGATCATCACAGCCATTTCTGATTTTTTTATAGCTAACTGCAGTTTCCCTTTTTAATGTTTATTACTGTTAATGTACAGCATTTGCATCTATATGGGTAGGCTCCCTGAATTGAAAATAAATATTGCATTTTATTTCAGTTTCTTCAAGTAATTGATTTTTTCAATGAAATCAATAATGTGACTGTCTAATAATTGTCATTTTAAAGGTCCCCACTTCATATCTTGTGTGGGAACTGGTTATCCTGACAGACTATCCATAAAGATTGTGTATTGCTGTGTAGTTATGTAATCATCACTGTGAGAACCTCAAAGTCGACAAGTTATTCAGCGTTTCTTTCAGCCTCCTCAGGCATGTGTTTGGGATAGTGCTTAAAAATGTGTCAGACCGACTTCCGTGTCCTTTCCAGCTGCTACTGACGCCTCTCATTTAGTGGTACCAGTGACTTATGAAGTTGATATGACATTGTAAAATAAAAGAATTAGCAAAATTATACAATATAACATGAGTTAACAAACATAGTAAGTCTACTTAAATATCCTCTAGTCATAAGCTTTGTGTTTGCAGTTCTTTCTACTCATGTTGAAATTGTATCTTTTTGTATTTATATTTTCTTATGGCTGAAAATTGTCAGAAAGGGCTCATGTGAATTTCTGGTTATAATGTAATGTTTCTGTTTATAACCAAACTACATCCATGTAACAGTGAGGAATCTGCAAAGTCCCCTTGTACTGTTAACTGCTGGTTGAGAATATATACAAATATGTGATGGTCACTTACAGCTTTCCTCTTTGAGAACCACTGCAAAAATGTGTTTTGCTACTTAAAACTGATACCAGATTAAAAAAAAAAAAGATCAGACATTAGTGCTTTCTGTTATTTTATATTCATGAAATATAACAATTTCATATGCCTGTATAGAACATAAGTTTGTTAAATTTCGTATCTGAACATATGGCATAGAAGTGTTGAATCTGATTTCATAATGAAATGTTTTTGTGCCTCTTACTGGTTAATCATATGTGATTTAATGGATATTTCACATATTCATAGGCTTCACTGCAGTTCATATACACCAAAAATCGAGATATTTAGTGAGGTTTTCTAGTCACATACAGAATCTCTCTTAATTTCATTGTCATTTTTAAACCTCCTGATCCTCTTGAATACATTAAACTTTGCTTCTTTGCAGTGTCGTTACATTCTGGCAAAGTGTCACTTTTTCTTTCTTTCATATCCTCTGATGGTAATTGCACTGCTATCAGTTAATCGGTTCTCATAATGGAATAATTTTTACATGAATCTCTATAAACATATCCCGTTGTTATTTATTGTGAGTCATAAAAATCAGAATTGATGCAAGTGAGATAAAGTGAAGTTTCTTACATTATTACATGACAAATGGCATGTCAAACATGTTTCTGCTATAGCTACTGTGTTGGATTCCTCACTTGCTGCCAGTCACTAGATTTTGTAGGCTAATTGCTTTATGTTGTGAGGTAGACGCACCCAGAAGTCTGGATGTTGTGACATGGGTGCTCTACCCAGGGAACTACTCTGCTCTAATACCTTATTAGTTACTTCTAAATATGATGAAAGTGAGGGACCAGTTGACTACATCAGATCCTAATGTTCTACTTCCATGTTCATAAAATATGTTTATTAGGCAGTGCTTTTATAGCACCATAACATGTTGATCAGTCAAAGAATAATACAAATTTAACATAGAAGTTTACTGTCTTCTGGGATGTAACACCATAGTATTTAGTAGTTACATACCAGCATTTTGGAAGATCCTGATGATTTTTCTTCAGGGAATCTTCAACCCTGAAAGTGGAGGCAGCATTCTTCTTATCTATCAAACTACTTTGTGTCATAGTCCAGAAGACAGTCATCTTCATAATTATTGTCATAAGAACCTCTAGTATCACAAAGGTCTACATTTTTTTTAGACATTGAGTAATTTAATGTCAGTGTTTCCCATGTGTAGTGATTGTCTGCTAAGTATTTCCAGTGTGGACAAAGCATAACATTTTCTCAGTTCCAAAGAGTTTTAGTCTAAGGGCAGGTGTTTTTAATGCTGACAGCAGTGTTGAGGTACTTCAGCATGGAAAATATAGTAAGAATTTTCAGCTTCGAAAATTTTGTGTTCAGGCGTACATGTACGAGTTTGAAACATAAAGTGTCTTTTATTAGCCACGTTTGAAGTTTGTATGTTTGCTTATATAGTAATCTACATTTATAAGTATATTTTTAGATGGAAGAAATGCTTCATGTACATGTATGTAAAAAGGCTTTCTGTCTGAGATTATGCAACCTATTATTTTTTTGTAATTTTTTATTGTGGAGTTTAACCGGGCTTAAATTACAATAAAGGGGACTAAAATAGTATTGGTGTTGTGATTCATTGTAGAAACCATATGCGTATCGTGTGACATTGCCTTAATGATATGGATTATTAATATTATTGAAACTTCTGCCGTTTGGATAAGTTCCTTCGCCCCTTAAAGGTACGTAACAAATGAAACACAATATTTTAATTTTGACCGCACATCCTTTGCAGTGTATCGTAATACTAAGAATTCAAACTCGACAGCAGCCGTAGTTATTTTATTTTTTATTTGCATTTTCATTCAAAACATAAATGGCCTTGAAGTTGTCAATTTAGCCCCACGTGATGGAATGGGCCAATAGTAGTGATCTTCCTGAGCGTTCCCTGCGCGGAAAGAATGCGCAGTAGGTCAGTTTATTCTGTTAGTTCACAAAATGCCGTCGGAGTCTAAAAGTTTGTTGACAGCTCAAACTGAAAAGCCAAATCATTATACGTAAGTTATATTGTTTATCATTACTTAACTTTAAGGATCGGAATCAGATCGTGAGATGGAAGGACAGTATTGGAATGAATATCTTGTGTCGCATTCCAGGTATTTGAAGGAATTTCGTGTTGAGCAGTGTCCATTGTTTCTACAACACAAATGCACACAGCACAGACCTTTTACTTGTTTCCACTGGCATTTTATGAACCAACGTCGTAGAAGACCAGTAAGGAAAAGAGACGGATCGTTTAATTATAGTGCTGATAATTATTGTGCAAAATTTGATGAAACTACAGGAGTATGTCCGGAAGGAGACGAGTAAGTACATGAACATTTTGCTTCACATACGGATGTCGCTACTTGCGTTAACTGTTTTGAATTTCCCTCATAATTGCGTCGTATATTCATTACGTAGTTTTCTTGTAGATTAATATATTGAAGCACTTACTTGTATTCAAAACAAGAAGGCTGCATGTGTTGACTTATTGTGTATTGACCATTATTGTGGGCGTGTCAAAATTATGTAAGGAAATTCGAATGTCATATGGTGTGAATAACAGAGCCAGTAATGTCATAACACAGTGTTTAGAGCAGCTGCCAAACTTGCCCGTATACCAAGTACTTTTAAATGAAGAGTTGATTGGTTAATTCTGAAGTTAGTTATTTTTGTTTACATTAATTTGAACAATATTTCTCATTTATAGGTGTCCCTACCTGCATCGAACTGCTGGAGATACAGAACGCCGTTATCATCTAAGATATTATAAAACATGCATGTGCGTTCATGACACAGACACACGAGGATTTTGTGTAAAGAATGGCCCCCACTGTGCATTTGCCCATGGAAATCATGATCTTAGACCGCCAGTTTATGATATTAAAGAAATTCAGGTATGATTTTTTGTTTTGACAGCGCACACTTTCCACTTGCTATTAATATTAGTTATAAGAACAAGGGAGAACTCTTTTACACTGCTCATTTTAAGTGTATCGTTTATTTTCTTCACAATTTAAACAGCATGTAGATTTGATAATGGGTTGGAAGTGCCAGATCAGTACTGGCATGTTGTGAAAAGAGGACCGGTCCACGAGAGAACTAAAACATATATCTTATATAAAAATGTGCTTAAACTTTAAATAGTGGTATATTCTTAACTAAGATGCACATTTGCTGGTGTATGTGCATGCTTACAAAAAGAGCTGGCTGGAGAAATTGGTATAAATACACAACCACAATGGTAGATTATGCACATATATTGGTTTGTATGCTAATGTTTTATGTATTGGAGAAGAATGTGAAGAAAGGCTTATGGAAGTGTTGCTAACAGTCACTTTCCATAGTTATTGAGTGTTATATGTTTGTAAAATAATGCATTGAGACTTAAGAAGAATATTTGTGGTTTGTATTGTATCGTAATGTGACGTGCCTGTCACAGCAGCATGGACTACCACAATGTTTTGAATTGCACGGAATATTTAGATATTTATGTTCGCATTTAATTGGCTGAGACATGGCACACTAACTTGGTATGGTAAAAAGAAATTGTTCCTGTGCTTAACTAATTAAGCACTACACCATGAAGGCGTATGGGGGAGTGGATGTATAGGTCCAGATTTTCTTCACCTCAGTACTAACTGGAGATGAGTGCCTGGTATGCCAGATATGTTAAATTTTAGTAACCGTCCTGTTCATATTCTTGAAGTAGCATTAGGGTGTTATATTTATTAGTAAATGTGCATAATATTATTTTGTTTGAGGTCGTCGTAGTGATGATGAATAAGATTACTGTCTTCAGGGATGTGACACCGTGTAGTCTGATAGATAAGTGCCAGTGTGCTGGAGTCTCCATTTTCATGGTAGAAGAATTAGCAGGGCCTGTGGGCAGATTAGTAGGAGGTGGTGGTGCTAAGACGTTAGTGATGAATAAGATTACTGTCTTCAGGGATGTGACACCGTGTAGTCTGATAGATAAGTGCCAGTGTGCTGGAGTCTCCATTTTCATGGTAGAAGAATTAGCAGGGCCTGTGGGCAGATTAGTAGGAGGTGGTGGTGCTAAGACGTTAGTGTTGTACCAATGGCAGATGAAGGGAGGAAATGTAGTAGCATGGTAAGAAAGGATGAATAGGAATACGTATAAAATTGATAATAATTAAGTAAAATAAATTGATAGGCCGAAGTAAGATAATGAGATAGCAGCCTCCATAGTCTAGGGGTAATGTTCCCATCTCATGACTCAAGGTACGCGGGTTCAAAAACCCGGCGGAGGTTGTGGAATTTTTAAGGGCAGAAAAATTCAGGGAACAAGTCCTCCGGGAGGGACTTTAAGCCGTGTGTCCCGTGTCGTAGATTTACGGCACGTAAAAGAACCTCATGTCTCTAAGAGACTGCTGAGCTAAATTAGGCCCAACATTTCCAGCCCAAAGTAGTTTCCGATGCCTCCGGTAGATGGGGAAGTATTAGGTACCACTGCCAGAGGAGGGATGACCTCGCTGACAGAAAGGGACTAAATACCACTGCCAAGTAGAAGGTAGAAACCTTGCTGGCAGAAAGGGACTAGGAACCCCTGCCAGAGGAGGGATGACCTCGCTGACAGAAAGGGACTAACTTTTACACACCACTGCCAAGTAGAGGGTAGAAACCTTGCTGGCAGAAAGGGACTAATAGCGAGCACCAGTACTGGTAGGGGTGGAGACTGTAGAAATTAAAAGGGGGACATACAATAGACTATCAGTCGCGGTGCATGGGGAAACCCACCCCCTCATTACTGAATCACTGAAGATAATGAGATAAAATAAAAATGAAAGGGAAGGAAGTAAAAGGGGGGGGGGGCGATACTTTTGGTTGCTTCATTTCTTTTTCTTTCTCTTGAACATTTCTGTTTTATTTTATTGCCATGCATCAATAAGCGAATTGATTTTATTTCAGTTTTAACAAATTTTTATTTATGTTAATTTTCATCCTTTCTTGACTTCTTTCCCACATTTTCTTCCTTTATTTGTGCCCAGTGTAATGGTGACTTTTGGTTCCATCTCATATTGGCGCACCCAAGCCTGTCTCATTTCCCGTTCCTTGTGTCAGAATTGCTTCTTTCTGCACTTGACTTCCTCTTCTACACAGAAGATGGAGGCAGCGTGTTATCCTGAACAGTGTATAACTCTACTGGACAGTACAGTGTCACATGCCAGGAGATGAGAATTTTCATGCAAAATCGTGTTTTTCAAATTAATACATGCACATTTATGTAGGTGATGAAGAACACTCAATACAAACATGCTTTAACATGAGTATCAAAAATTACAGAATGTTTCAGCTAAACTATAGTAATATTAAGTAGGTCCTTTGTTTGTTACTGTAGGCTTTGGAGAACCCAGATTCTGAAGCCAATGCTGTAAATGGTCCAAATGTTTTAGACAAAGAAAGAAATTTAATGAATGAAGATCCAAAATGGCAAGGTAAGTAGACATTAAGATTGTTTAAGTATGCATTTAAGTGTCTCAGAGGTTATCTAATGTGTGAAGTACCATAATTGTTGTTATTTGCAGATACAAGTTATGTTTTAGCAAGTTACAAGACTGAGCCGTGCAAGAGACCTCCTCGTCTGTGTCGTCAGGGTTATGCTTGCCCACAGTATCATAATAGCAGGGATAAAAGAAGAAGTCCTAGGAAACACAAATATAGGTGAGTCTGAGCTTGAGTGACGTGTTTTAGTCAGGTGATAAATGCTAGAGTTATAGTAGGTAACTGATAAATGAGCAGTGTTGCCCGTAGAAATATGCAGGTAGCACTCACAGTTGCTTCTTTTAGTGGCTGTTTTGGTAAGGCCCTTCTATGTGTGTGTGATAACTTGTTTCTGGCAGGCATGAACATTGTTTTGTTGTGACTCTGTATATGTAAATACAGTTCTTTTCTTTCTCCTCTTTCTCACGTATCAGATTTCAAAGACTTGAGGAACAATTTAAGAATACAGTGATCATGTACCCATATCTATGATGTCACCTTTAGATAGGCCACACACCAGCATGCATCAAGACATGTAACAGTCAAGACAAAATGTCTGCGACATGATGGAAAGAAAGCACAGTTGAAACGAACGAGATTGTGAAAACCACCGCACACTGGTCTAAGTCATGATGTCAGCATCATGACTCATGCCTACATACGTAGGTTATCTAGAAAGTAAGTTCCAATGGGCTGTTGAAAAAAGCAAGAATTTATTTGCAAACCATTTATATTACCATTTTATAGACATACTATATGCTACTTTTTGACGTAGTTTCCACCATTGTTGAGGCACTTGTAGCGGGGCACCAGTTATTGTATCCCTGCATCATAGACTGATGCCGCCTGTGATGCAAACCACATGTTAACGGCTTCTTTGACCTCGTCATCGTGGAACCACTGGCCACCAAGAAAGTTTTCAGATGCAGGAACACGTGAAAATCACTTAGCGCTAAGTCTAGGCTGTAGGGGGGATGATCGAATTGTTCCCAGCCAGATGTTGCAATGAGATCTTATGTTGTGTTTCTCAGTTGATGCATTATTTATACTTTCTAGCAAAGGGCTTTTAATACCTGGATTTTGTTATATTTCTGTTCAGATCCACACCATGTCCAAATGTGAAACATGGGGATGAATGGGGTGAACCAGGGAATTGTGAAAGTGGTGACAATTGCGCATATTGCCACACCAGAACTGAACAACAGTTTCACCCTGAAATATACAAATCAACTAAGTGCAATGATGTTCAGACTGCAGGCTATTGTCCAAGAGGAGTATTCTGTGCTTTTGCCCATGTTGAACGTAAGTTGAAGCTTATTTCCAAATATTGAACCCATTAGGCAGAAAATACATGGCATCCGTAGTTTATTGCTAATGTTAGAGCTGAAATAAGTTATGAAAGGCAGTAATAGATGAAAGACAATGGCCAATGCAACTGGGGAAGGTTTTCTCTGAGCACTTTTCTTTCACATGCCATTTCTCATTCCACCAAATTCTCCATTTGTCTTAACAATCTTCCAGGGCTCCTACATTGGGGAAATTATGGCCTAAGTGTCAAGTGACTTAGTCTTGCTCTGCCTGAATAATAATAATAAATAAAAGAATAAATGTCAGATTTAATTTAATGGAATCTGTAATAATTTCATTATTTGAGCTTTGTCAAGATCTACAGTCTGTCCACAAAGTCCCGTCGGGGTCTTGAAAAATTGTGGTATGCAAATGTTCTCTGTGCTACCAAGGGAGCTCACATTGAGGTCTACTGAGGTCAGTAAAAAAACTTCCAGAGTTTCACTATGATCTGCCACAAACCGCACGTGACTAGCTCAATTTGTTTGCGCACCACAATTTTTCAAAACCGGAAGGAACTTTGTGGAACCAGTCTGCTCTTACCAGTTCTCACGGTCTCTTCACTTGCGGATTTCTTATATTTTTCCTTCTACCCTGAAGATGGAGGCGATATGTTCCTCCGAAACGTCGGTTAACACCACATATACACTGTGCCAAATCCCAGAAGACTGCTTTCTTCATAGTCACCACTGTGAAAGCCTCAAATCTTAAAATAAATTGTTGACCTTAAACACATTAGTGACACTGCCAGCTCTGAAGATTATCGATAGAACTGTCATTAATTTGCTTCCAGGTTTGTCAAGTTTTTAGATGTAGTTTTTATCATTTTTTTCTTTTTTATTTTTGGGTTTATATGCCCATATGCAAGATCCCCATTCCATACAACTTGTCCCCAATGGTTCCTGTTTTGTACTTCATCTTACTACCACAGTTTTCCTGGAGTAAATAAAGACGTCAATCAGAAGTTGATATGCTGAAGGAAAATGTTGTGTGCTTCCCAGAGGAAATGACACTTGCTCGAGATCTGGCTGCTCAGGTGGACTCTGGTACTAATTTAGCAGATATATTATCAAGCGCTCTCCCACCAGAAAAACGAGACTCTACAGTCGGTCAAGAATCTTCCAAGAGAGAGGAGAAGAGTAGCGATTCATCGGTGAGTACTGTGCTGACTAAGCTGTTTATGGCAAAACTTCATTAGTGCAGTTCTCTTTTGTTTAGTTTTTGTTTTGTTTAACTAGCACATGTGCTTAACTTAGAAATTTATCCAACTCTATTTCTGACCAAAGTCTGGGCAGTACGCTGCAGTTATCTAGAGCTTCATACATATTGTTTGGGTGCTCAGGTGGAAGGGCCTGATAGATTCTCCTTTGTCTAGTTGGGCCACAGAGTGTTGAACAGCTAGCAGAATTGACAAGTATGCAGACCAACAGGGTGCACGCAGTAGCGTAGTTGGTTGAGGTGCTATGCTACAAGTTGGAAGGTCGCAGGTTCAAGTCCTGTTGAGGTGGATTTTTTTCAGTTGTCCTAATCCTTCCAGCTGCACTATGGCCGTGGGGTCAACTCAGCCTTTAACAGAAATGAGTACCAGGAATATTCTTGGGTGTAAAGGGTGGCCGGCACATAGGGCTGACAACCTTGCCGCCATCTATGAGCCAGTTGTCTAGAAAATGTGAGAACCTAAACATCTCACAACCCTATGGGCCTCCACGGCCTGTTACAGGGATACCTTTACTTTACTTTAGTTTTACAGACCAACAAATTACAGATAAACCTTACCCAGATTACAGCAGATCTTCTAAATACTGCCTGTTGTTTATTGTAAGGAGAATGTTCCAGCATAGCACCAATTTAATCTTTTTTGGATGCACAATCAATGTAAATGCTAAGTCCTCACTGCTGAGAAAATGGATGAATCAGTGCTAGACTTGAACATGTAGCTTGAAATTCCCTTAGATACCTTATGCAGAGGACTGGTGTTTTAATTTCACCCTGTTTCCAAGGAAGAACTTTGTGCAAATGTAAACTTTTATGAAGGTCCAGAAATACCTGTATAACAGTAGAGCATTTTCAACATGTTCATCAACATTCTGGGTAAGTTTTATTTGTAATTTGTTATGCTGAAAGGCCTATCAACTGTGCTGTCATTTGGAATCTTCACTCCTTGACCAGACAAAAGAAGCATGAGACTTTTACACCCAAGTGGACCATTGATATCCAGAAAACTCTGAAGATGCTCACACTCTATGAAACGTTTAAAATTTAATTTTAGAGACCACAGTGTGTGGAAGAATACAGTTCTTCTTTATCCTTTCAGACCAGCAGAAATTCAGTGAGCATTATAAACTGTAGGAAATAACCAGTTACTGATAAAGAGTTTTTGTTTTCCATGAAATGTACTCCATTAAAAGAGGCATTTTTCTTTATAATATTTTGTCAGATGCATCAGTTAAGACATATCTAATCATTCCAGTATAAGAATTTAATGTTAAAAATTTCCAAGGCTAAATTATTATCGTCTTGCTGTCACATGACTCTGATTTATGGCAAGGTCTTCAAAGTCATCTCTTCCTTTCAGTTTTTTGGACCAAAACTTTATATGCATGTTATGCACGTTGTGAACCTTTGCTTTGTTGACTGGTTCCATGGCTTTGTGCTTCACAGCGACTGGTGAACCACTGGCTGCGAGGCACATATGAATTTTACTGATAAATCAGCATGCCTGACAGCCAGTAACATTTGGAATGAAGTTGTTACAATTCAAAGATCAAAGGAGGTGTTGATAATGCAGTCCCAGTACATGTATGGTATCTTTCACAATTAATTGTTTAAAAACACAGAGACAACAATCCTCCTTGCACTTACAGAACACCAAATACCAACTTTCACTGAATGGAGTGGGACTTTATGTGTTAGATGTGGATTCAGTGAATTCCTGTAGTGATTATTTTGCGTGTTTTTGTATCCTTGCAAGTGAAGCCATGCTTTGTCAGAAAATAATGTCATTTTTTGGATCAGTCTCACCTTTGACTACAGACTGTAGAAACCAGCACCAAAAATGAACCCTGCTACCTGGAATGTGTGGCTGCAAGGCATGGATTACTGTTGTTTTATAGGTTCGAAGCTTCAGCAGTTGTGTTACCATTCTTGAACCAGACTCTGACACTCCAGTCTTTTGAGCTAGATGTTTCAGTGATTTCGTAGGTGTATGTTTCAAGTCTGGCCCTTGTGACATCTAACTTCTCCTCAGTAATCACTCAGCACTTATGTTTTTGTTTCTTACTTATTAAAAGTCCTGTTATAATTTTATTCACCAAATTGTGAATTGTTTGCCTGCTTGGAACTCTTTCATTACAAAATTAACGTTGAACTTTTTGCTGACACTATGTAGCAGATCAGTATTTTATGTAAGTGTCATATGGAAATACCCGTTGCTGTAAAGTATAACATGCCATGAGGTATCACACTGCTCACTAACTGTAACTGAGAGCAAATGGCTAATGGAGCTGATAACTGCTGCCTACTGCTGACAAATCATAAACAAACTCCCAAGCATGAACTGCAGTGCTGGTTGTGAAACATAATGCTGTTGAGCAGTCCATAAGTTTATTACTTCCTTTCATTCCTAATGTTGTCAGCCAGCAGGCGTGCTGATTTATCAGCCGAATTTGTATGCACCTTGCAGCAAGCAGTGCACCAGTCACCATAAAGCACAGAGCTGTGAACTGGTCAACAAAGTTAAAAAACTCTGTGTATATTCCTTTCAGTTAATATCCTTCTACCACAGTTTCCATTATTGTGATTGTGATTCTCAAAACTAGCTATAGATGCTCTTGTCTGTACATTCATAGCTACATCATATATGGAGTAACATGTATGAGGGATGGTAATTCAATAGATTTGAGATAAAACCTGAAGAAAGAACCATCTTTTTAAGTGAAATTTGAGGTTCTCACATTGATGACTAAATTTAATAAACTGGAGATAAAACATAAGGACACCCCCTCTTTTTAAGTGAGATTTGAAATTCTCAGAGTGGGGACTGTAAAGAATATTATCTTATGATATATTACTCTCCATAATGTGTTAGAAGTTTACTGGCATTTGAGAGGAACATGGGTAAATTTCTGCCAGACTACATGATGTAACATTCCAGCAGATCATTCTCCCCATTTATTTATTTATTTTTTAATTTTTGTCAGATTGTGATCAGTGTTACCGCTTAGTTTTCTTGATTGGGGATGTCCGCATCTCAGAGAAAGTATTTTTTACAATGCAGTGCCACCCTGTTGACAGTTTTATATGTCATAATGCCAGATGCCTCAAAAATAGTAGATCACTTTATACATCAGAATTGAAATGGTAGATGATTCCATTGCAACCTTGATATGTATTACAGAATGGGAGTGGGGAGGTGTCAGAATCCGCTTCTACTAGCAGTCTTGGTTCCAGTAGTTCACACAGTAAAGCTCCAGGGTCTCAATTAACTCATAACAGAGGTGTGGCTGGTGGCAGCAGTCATATGCACTTTGCCAATAGCAGCAGTAATCAACAGGAAGTCATACAAGCTGTGAGTAAATTGGCACCATGCAAAGATAATCTGTACAATATTGGTTACCAGGATGTAAAGTCAGCAGACTGATCACGTTCATGTTGATAGTGCATGCAGGTTTCCGTGTGGTGATCATGTAATATTGATGCAAGATGTAAAAATATCATACACAGAATTTAGTAAGGTAATGGCAGAGTTGCCAGTCACAGTGACTGCACTGTCTAAAGCATGAAATGAATTAGCCCTCTCAAACGCTGGGATCGTGGGTTCGAGTCCCACTCAAGGCATGGCATGGATGTTTACCTGTATTTATTATGTGTTTGTGTTGTCCTGTATAGGTAGCAGCCTTGTGACAGGCTGATCCCCTGTTGAAGGAGTGTTACTGACTGTATAAAATAAAGATACTGAAGTGAAACAAAGCATTTCATGGATGCTATATGCTCAAAGTGGGAGCAACAGGAAGAGATAGATAGAAGGTCTAAGTTTCCCTTATGCGTAATTAAATAAGCACTATGCCATAAAGACATATGGAGGCGTGGAGGTATAGTGCCGTGATTCTTGACCTCAGCACTGGTTATAGATGAGTGGCCAGCTTCATGCCTTGGCCAGTTTACCTCTGGGGAAACGTTCCTCAGAGCCCATCAGGTAGAAAGCTGGGAGGACCACAGGGCCAGTTGGGATGTTAAGGAGAAGAGAAGAATCCAGAATTTAGTAAGTGTATATAACAGATTTTAGAATCATATAATAAAGATCAGTTATGGTTCAAACAAAATATTTTGCTCTTTTTCCTAAAATTAAAATGTTACCCCAGTAAGAATTTCATAATATTCAAAGGCCCATCATAGTTCAGGAGCCGGGAAAGCATAGTCGGTGTAGCGACTCGCTACAGGCTGGACGACTGAAGGGTCAGAGTTTGAGTCCCAGTAGGGTGAAGAATTTTCTCTTCTCCACGTCATCCACACTAACTCTGGGGCCCACCCAACCTCCTGCCCAGTGCGTACTGGGGGCTTTTCCCTGGGGATAAAGCTGCCAGGGCATGAAGCTGACCACTCACCTCCAGCTAGTGCTGAGGTCAAGGAAATGTTGTTCTATGCATGCACTCCCCCACACACCTTCATGCTGTAGTGCATAATTATTTAAGCACAGGGACAACTTTACCATCATAGTTCAGAATTTCTTGACTGTGCTTTATGTAGGACTGATGTTGCAGTCTCCCCACAAGATTGAATCAAGACTGCAGTGTTGGTATTGTTGATGTCTGGTGATTAGAACTGGGATGGATGGGCTGGTTGCTAGGTTACCTAATGGTGCTGTTTTTCTGAGTTTGAGGTTCTCTTCTCAAGTGACATATGTAACATATGTACAGCTCAGTAAGGTGACTAGTGAAGAAGCGGGCTTATTTCAAATGTCTAAATATGTGTAAGCTGGTCATGGTAGCCGAGCCGTCTAAGGCATGCACTGTCTTCGCTTGCTCGGCAGCCGGGATCATGAGTTCGAATCCCACTTGGCATGGATGTTTGTGTGCATTTTTCTGTGTTTGTCTACAGGTAGAGGCCTTGTGACGAGCTGATCACTCACCCAAAGAGTCCTACCGTATGTGTAAGATCTAGAAAAACCGAAGTGAATAGAGTTCATGGAGGTAGGCCTAGGCCCACTGGGGCTGTAGTGCCAAGGGGAAAAAAAGTGTAAACAATTGCATTATTTCCAGAATGTGATTGTATATTGGAAAACACTGTTGATTTTCACAGTACTGATTTTCTTTTCCAGAGTTTAATCAAGAAGCAAATGATAGCAATTGACAGTGATCCTCTTCTAGACCCACTGGAGAAAGCCCAGAGGAAACAGAGCATTTATCTTGCATTTAGCATCAACAACTCAGGATCAGTGGCATCTGCTGTCTCACCCTTAGCAACTGCTTTCTATCCTGCAAGCGATACTGTAGAATCTGTTGTAGGTAAGGAATTCATTATCTGTTTTCTAGGATAGGTAAAACTGTCCCTGCAACACGCTGTGCAGGCCCTACGGGCCGTGAGATGTCGAGGCTCCCACATTTTCTAGACAGTCGGCTCACACATGGCAGTGAGGTTGTTAGCCTTACTCGCCAGCCTACCTTTACCCCTAGGAAGATTCCTGATAGTTATTTCTATTATAACCGAGTTGACCCCAGGGTCATAATATGGCTGGAAGGATTTGGTCAACTGAAAAATCCAGTGACCACATCAGGAATCGAACCTGCAACCTTCTGGCTTGTAGCATAGTGCCTGAGCCAACTACACTACCATGTGCCCTTTTTTCTAAGAGAGGTAGAATTTATAATTCTGTAATTCATTTGTGTGATATTGTGGTCCTTCCTTAACTGAGTAATATTTGGCTGTCATGGAGAATGTATTTTTGGTTCTAAAGTGATTACCTAAGAATCTCACAGAAAGAGTAATCAAGGTACATAAAATATATACAGAAATATGCAGTCTACACAACAATAATCTGTATTTAAAAAAAAATAGACACTCGTATCAACATATGTTTTTATTGACGCTACATGTTTCGACCCTTTTACTGGGTCGTCATGAGACGTACCATGATACCAGGCTCAGTTGTTGAATTGCATCTGATTTTTCAATAAGGATCCTTATTGTGCTCTTGAGTGTTTTTAAAATTTATAAATTGAATCTTTCAGTTAAAATTTAAAAATTAAATCATAAATGTTAAAATTGTACTAGAATAGAAATTAACATATTTTGTGGTAAACATATTTAAAACTTTGTGACCACTGTGTGTTGACATGATTTGCTACAGTGTGGGGCACCTGCGTATCGTGATCTCAAATAAGTTAGGTCTTGTGGAGCTTATGCTTGTTATTCTGTATGTCACCCAACAGGTCGTTTATCTGGAGTGATGTATATTAGATTTTCTTATAATGATATGTGTATGAGCTACTCCCTGTGTTGATGTCGCTATGTTGTAGCGGTTCAGTCTAGCTAGACCGAAATCTTCCATTGAGGCAAATATTATATCAGTCCCTATTGATAAGACCTTAATTCATGAAATGAAAGTAGCCACCATCTTTGAAATATCTGCAGTGCATGTGATTTCATGAACATCAACCTGATGCTTTTGGAGGAAAATATTACATACATTGTTTACATACATATGTAGTTGACAGCCTTTTTAGAACTTTGGCAGTTTTACAGAATGGACATACAGACACATGGAATTCAACCAAGAAGCAGATAGCAAATAGAGCTCAGCTTGGTACCTGCTTATTGCGGGTTACTTCTGTGGGTTAGTCTTTGACCCTGAAAATGGAGGCAGTATATTCCTCCAAAACATGGGTGAACTTCTGCTGGGCTGCATCCCAGAAGATACTAATGTTCTCATTGGATCTTATTTCTACCCTTCAGTGTCCCCACATGTCCATTTTAGATGAGTGCGTATTAATGTTGGGTTTCTTTTTGCAGGAAATGCATTAGAAGATTTAAATTTAGATGAACCTCTCAATTTAGCAGCGTCAATAGACAGAGATTTAGAAACAGATTCCCCAACTGTCAGCAATTCAATATCAGCTGGACTTGCAAGTTCTGGTAAGCATTCTTGCTGTCTGTGTCATTGCAGAATAGAATTGATAAAACACTAACGAACTTTGAATCATATTCACAGAAGCGGTAAACTGATGAACTGCATTGATATACTCTGCTGATTTATGGTCAGTAACTACATCTGATATAAGGTTATATGCATCTCCATAGGTGCATGTTCTTTTCTGCAGTTTCATAAATATGTAATTGTTCTTGAATACTAAAAAATTGTCATCTTTTATTTATACGTAATATATCCATACTGTGAAACCTAGTAAAGTTCATGTAAGTAAGTATTTCTGTAATGCATTTCCTATTCAGAATGGTCTTGAAAAAGGAAGGAAGGAGAAAGAGGGAGTGAGGAAGGTGCTTTATTGCCATTGTTCTTTAACTTTGCTTTAAAATACTCTGTTAGGAAGGTCCAAGAAAACCAGTAGGAACTGAAATGAAATGGAACTCATCAGCTTGTGGTCTATGCTAATATTAGTTTAATTACTGCAAACTGAAGTACTTTAATGAAGGACACCACCTATGTTAGACACTAGTATGAAGTTGTCTAAAAGTAAACCCAGACAAATTGAAATACATATATGTTTCTCTGTCATCATCAGAATGCAGGACAAAGTAATAATATAAAGATATTTTAAAATATGGCAGAGTGCAAATATCGGGACAGTACTGCCATACACAAACATATGAGGGCTATTTGGCAAGTAATCTTCGATGAGCTATTAACAAAAAGAAAAAACAAAAAAATTTTTGTATACAAAAAATACATACTCGTATGTACTTAGGTTACTTCTCAGCGTAGTCACTGCTGGAATTGAGGCACTTGCATCTGGGAATGAGTTTTCACGTGCCTGTGTCAAGTCTGCCGCCTACGAGCTCAGCCATGTTTTATATTGTGAAACACTAAAAAAAACTGTTCATGCCTTTCAACAAAAGGTGTGGAATGCTGACATATGGTGTAGTGCCCACATGTCAATGTGTGTCATCATACAGGTACTCGCACCCAAGCACTGCTGGAGGATTTCAACTGGAAGTTGTTTGACTACTCCTTACAGCTCTAATCTCACTCCAAGCGACTATTGCCTACTTACCTACCTGAAGAACTGGTTGTGATCACAGCACTTCAGCAATAATGAGCAGTTGATGGAAGGTGTCAAAACATGGCTGAGCTCACAAGCAGCAGACTTGTTTGACACAGACATACAGAAACTTATTCCCTAATATGACAAGTGCCTCAGTTCCAGCGGTGACAGCATTGAGAAGTAGCTGAAGTATATATGTATTTTTGTATACAATAGAATTCCCCCCCCCCCCTCATTGCTTGTTTTGTTATCAGCTCACTGTAGGTTGCTTTCCAAATAGCCCTCATTTATAGGGCTCTTGAAATATGCTTATCTGCTTGCCACAGATGAGTTAATAGAAACTGTTGACAAGGAGCAGAGACATGTAATGCTTATGTACACTTAGCTCATCAGTTGTGTCATATTTGAAGTTAATTTCCTGTTAAATTATATTAAATAATATTACAGTTTATGTATTATTCATTACTACAGATATCATTCATAGTTACTTTCATTTATTCATAATGAACATAATTTATCAAAATTTGCAGTTGATTGTTATCACTTCTGTTTCATATATGAAGTATGTTCAAATGTCAGCCCAGGTATCAGCTGTCTTGACAGGTTTGTCATGTTTTCCTAGTGCCCTTCAGGCAAACTCCAGGATAATACCTCAAATTTAGATAATGGTACCATTCCAATTCATTATTCACTTACCATCCTATCAGTCAGACATATTGTAACATGTTTCGTTACTGAAGACGCCGTTCGGATTGTTTACTGGTTTATTTAAGAACCTACAAGTATCGGCTAGAATTAATTACAACAGTGTTATGGGTTTACACACGTTAGAACCCTACACACAAATCTGTCCACTCTATCACGATTCACTCGTTACAACCAAACTCGGTGACTACCACAATTCAATTCAACTCGTAACTCTCTGCTGTCTAGATTCCAACTCAACTCATAGGCAGCTGCCTAATAGGCACCACTGTTATCTGACACCATGTTTGCCTGTTACATAATGGGTACCGCTGTTATTACCATCGTCTCTCGCAACCACTGTTTACCCGCTTTGCTTAGCAACCGATGTTTACTCGCTTTGCGTAGCGACCAGCGTGCTGGGACTCGGCTCACTTCAGCTCCACTCGGTACGTCACGGCTGGCAGGGAGGGAGGTGCATCATCCATAGCGCAACACATCACACTATATAACCTTGGCTACTGTCTCCTTAAATAAACCAAGAATTTACAAATAATATTTTTATTAGGTATGCTTGGCAGTTCTGCTCCAGTCAACATCCCTGGCAGTGCCCTTAGTGAAAGAAATACATTAGGAAGCAACTTCTCACCCTCAACATCATCTCCTTTACAACAGTTGCAGTCTGGGTTCCTGTCTGCTTCTCGATTTTCACACCAGGATTCATTGGACTCAGTAAGAACTTCAAAATGTCTTAGTTTATGTAAATTTTAGATGTGGTCCATAGCATATAATTCATCATATTTACTGAATTCAGAACACAATTAAAATTTTTAGAAATTCCTGCATTTTATTGTTACTGAGCCACAAATATAGGCATAATGTTCATGTGGTCAAACTTCCGTTGATTTCATAACTGAGAAATGGAAAAGTATACAGGCACTGTTTTTTTCTCTAACCAAATATCACATCCCTGGATGTCTCAAAACCATGCACTCTTACACATGCATTTATACATATTACCTGCAGGAAGATACAATGACATTATAGTGGACCATAATCCGCCAGTGTGATTCAGAAAGTTTCTACACTTACTGTTTTTCCCACACGCGAATTGAGTATGGAAAGTTACAGGTGTATCACTTTTCTGCCTAGTCTACCTTCTTCTCAGCATACTTTGCCTGGGGGTCCATGAGCTTTCTAATGGCATCAGAAAAAGCTTCTTAGGTTGAGTGTAAAGCCAGTCATGCGCTGCTTCCTTCAGCTGCACCTCATCTGTAAATCACTGACCTCTGAAAGGTGCTTTCAGAGATCCAAACAGATGGAAATCTGAAGGTGCAGGGTACTGTATTCCAGTTGGTTGAAAATTTCACATTTCAGCACCCAAAGGGTTTCCCCAGTATTGGCAGCAGTATGAGGTCAGGCATAATCTTCGTCATCATTTTGTTCAAATGGCTCTCTTCAGTTCAGTTAGTAACATGTTGGAATGCTTTCAACTCATTGCTGTGATTCCACGTTCATGGTGACATTTGAATGTCCCAAAACTTCTGTCAGCATCAACCTCCCAACTAATGTCTGAGTCTTGAATTTTTTGTGACAGGAGAGGATGGGTGCTTCCATTGGATACCTCACATCTGCTTTGTGTTGCTAATAGCATATCCAAGTCTCGTTGCCAGTGCTGTTGCGATTCAGTCAACCGTCACCTTCTTTGTCATATTGCTCCATCAGAGGAGACCTGGTTCCCACACAATTGTACATGTGTTCTTCTGTTAATTCCTTTCTAACTCAAGATGCACAGAACTTGTGGAATCCCAGAATTCCATGCATTGTTCATTGACCTGAAACTTCACCGATATCCAGTGTTGATTCAGTGTGCCTTCTGTCCTTGAAAATCATAGCTCTGGTCTCTTCCTGTTTGTCATTACTTGTTGCCAAGGATGGGCATCCTGGGTGTTCTGAATCACACTTGTACTGCTTTTGTTAAAACATTTATCTACTCATACATGTTGAATAACACATTCTCCCCATACTGAGCACATAAATGTGTTTTAATTTCAGTCCAGTTAGCACCTTCTGCCATAAAGAATCAGAACCCTCTGTTCTTTGACAGATATTGAAAGTGATGCTGTCATGTTCTCTGTTTCACTGCAACTTAGTCACTATGTCCAGAGTCATACTGGACAGTGTATCAACATGTCATCTCAGAGTTTGACTCTGCAAACCGTCATCAGACAATCTTGTACCTTCTGCAGACAGAAGCAGAAGTGCAAATACTGCTTAAATCACCCTCATAGCACAGTACATATTTGTGTAGTGAACACCAGCATCATACTTAATGTGCAGGTAGAATGAATATTTGAAATTTGTTATATTTTAGCGTCCTGTTACACTGATTCATGTCCGTGGTTTATGTTAACTGTCTTACAGTGTATACAATTTTTCACCTTATTCTTCACTTCCACACTACATGTTTCAGCACTAATGTGCCATCCTCAGGTGTCATTATGCATGTTAAACTATTGTACTGCATGCCATGATGTCTTCATTCTAAAATGACTAAAATCTGTATTCGTCATATATGTCGATGAATTCTAAATAATAAAACTTTTCAGGATTCATCCTACGTCACACTCAAACACGCGAATTACGCCAATCTTTTATGTGATCATTCTTCATGCATACATTTGTGTATCGTGTTCTGTGTTGTGTTTTGCTCCTGTTACTGCATGCGTTGTACATGCATGCAAAACAACACAGAACACGATACACAAATGTATGTAGGAAGAATGCTCACATAAAAGAGGATTGGCGTAATTCGCATGTTTGAGTGCGATGTAGGATGAATCCTGAAAAGTTTTATTATTTAGAATTCATCGACATATATGACGAATACAGATTTTAGTCATTTTAGAATGAAGACGACATGGCATGCAGTACAATAGTTTAACGTGCATAAAGACACCTGAGGATGGCACATTAGCGCTGAAACATGTAGTGTGAAAGTGAAGAATAAGGTGAAAAAGTGTATACACTGTAAGATGGTTAGCATAAACCATGGACATTTCAAATTTGATTTGTTTCATTCTGGTCCGTCACACTAACAGTATTAGAAAATGTTTATTAATTCTATCCAGTGTGACTGATGGTTTTTTCTTTTTAATCTTTTATCCTTTACATGTTTCGGTCCTATAGACCATCTTCAGAAGAATATCAATACAATTAGAAACTACTATTACAATAAGTTTTATGAATGTTAATATGTACATACACAGTGTGTCCAGGATCCATTAGGACTTTTTTTTTTTTTTTAATTTTTCCCTGCAATACCATCTGTTGGCGAGTTGTGGCATTAAGATTCTTAAAGTTTCAGCTGTGGCTCTTTATAATTTCAAAGTGCAAGCATCGCTGCATCATGTGTTTTGACCTTGAATGTAACAGTACTGTTCTGACACTTGTTGGAAAATGGCGGTTGAACAGAGAGCCAACATCAAATTTTGTTTGAAGTCAGGCAAAACAGCAGGAGAAGCGTACAAAATGATGAAAAGTGTGTACGGTGGTTGTTTTAGTCGTTCGAACATTTTTTGATGGTATGCTGTATTTTGTGATGGCAGGGAGGACATTGAAGACACTCCATGTGCATCAAATCCAAGAACAAGTCGCACTGAAGAAAATGTGAAAAAAGTGACTGAAATCCTTGCATCAGACAGATGTGTTTCTCCAAGACTCCACTCATCGAGGTGCTTTTGGTAATACCAAAAAGTACTGCGCATCAAATATTGACCTAGGATTTGGGCAAACGGAAGGTCTGTACGCGGTTTGTACCACACGTGCTGTCAGGCGGTGAAAAACATGCCAGAGTGGAACACTGCAAAGACATGTTACAGTCGGCCCAAAGTGATATAAAATTTACAAAATTGGTTGTTACTGGTGACGAGACATGGTGTTTTCAATATGAGCCTCTCACAAAGTGACAGAGTGCAGCGTGGTTGAGCCCAAAGAAAGTGCGCATGCAAAAGAGTCGAGTAAAGCCACTGCTAACCGTTTTCTTCAATTCAAAAGGAATTTTTGCCAAGGTCAAACAGTGAATTCTGATTATTATCTCGGAGCCCTCAATCGTTTGTGGGCGAGAATCCTTCGAATTTGACCTGAATATCAAGAGGAAGGTTCCTGGTCGCTCCGCCACAACAATGCCCCACCCCACAAATCGAAGATCTGCACAATTTTTTGGCCAGAAATGGGATCACAGTCCTTGATCATCCTCCATATTTGCCAGATTTGGCTCCAGCAGATTTCTGGTTCCCAAAAATTAAGTTGGCGATGAAAGGAGACCATCAAGACCCCATCCAGGACATCCAAGGGGAATCTACCGCAGTTTTAAATTTGATTCCACAAAAGGAGTACTGTGACTTTTTGAAAACTTTTCAGTCGATCCCAGCTATGTATTGATTGAGAAGGAGACTATTTTGAATAAAAAGAGAGAAATTTTGAAAATAATACACGTTTTGTATTTTTAATCAACACAGTCCTAACAGAACCTGGACGCGCTGTGTACAATGTCATCATAATACAGTATACAAATTTAATGTTTTTTAACAACTACAGCAGCTTGTATCAACACATTAAAATATTTTAACATTTTTAAACATACTAACTGTAAAAGAATATTTTAATGTGTTGATGCAAGCCCCTGAAGTTGTATTGATTGTATTGATATCCTTCTGAAGATGGGCTGTAGGACCGAAACATGTCAAGGATAAAAGATTAAAAAGAAAAAACCATCAGTCACACTGGATGGAATTAATAAACCTTTTGGAATATTTCAATTTTTTGGTTTTGGTTCATATTGCAAACTGTAGTTCCAGTATGTGGGGTTTGAACAGGTTCTTATCCTTTGAAATGATTTTATTTCTTTGTTTCAGAGCTCAGCATTTATGAACACTTCTCATATGCAGTTAAGCAGTAGTGCATCAAAGATTAGTAGTTTCACATCTGCAGGTCTGTTTGACTTCAGCTCTCATCAGAACATGTCTCCAAGCAGTCGTACCTCTCATCATCCCGGCTCATCATTAGTCAACAGCTTTCCTTTAAGTCCATCTTTAGGAACCAACCTTTCAACTGAGGTGAGAAGCATGATGGTTCCTAAGCACCTGCTTTAGAGGTTTTAACAAAAGTATGTCATGGCAGATTTCATATATGACAGTGTCATTTTTAGACAAAAATTGGAACCCTCTTAAGAAATATTCCAGGGGACGAAGCAATTCATACTTCTTATACAAGGAAGTCTCTTAAAGTAATAGGTTCAGAAAAACAGACTAATTTTATTTTAGTTGTAAATACAAATGTTCATAAAATCTAAAATTTTGTGATGATAGTATATTAATACAGTTATTGATTTCTTGAACAGTATCCATTGTGCTGTTTTTATTTAAAACAACATTTCTGAGTAGGCTGTTACCTGAAGATGGAGAGAGTCCAGTTCCTGAAACCTGATATTAAATAAAAAACAGGCAATAGATAATGTCCAGAAAGTCAGTAATTATACAAACATTCATAATAAATAAATATAATGCTGGAAATATTATAATTATGCGTGTCATATCTGGGTAGCTGTTCACTTCCTTGATTATACCTCCCTTTTCCCCCCTTGTGTAACAGTTTACATTTTGTTCCTTTCCAACTCCCAGGTTTATGCTAAATGAATATGGAACAAATATGCTTGATTCACTAATACACAAAATTTCAGAACATGTGGGAACAGTACAATGGGTGATCTGCACACATACAAACTGTTGCGACCTGAAAGGAATATGAAATTTAGAATTATCAAAACTGAATCAGAAGACCATCAGAAATAAGAAAAGTGGAAGATTCCTTGGTCTCAGCTACTCAGTGCTAGCAAGAGCATTAGCAGCAAGCCATTTTATACTGAAGACCATAAAGTTCTGCTCAGTTTCATGTGTGCAGGAGTGCTACACTGCAGAAGCCATGGCACCCATAACCACTTTCTCATAAATGACAAAGTTTTTAACAGACAATTTCGGTTGAAAAAAAAAAGATTATTGAAAAATGTGAAATGAGTAAAATGTTTGATAACATTAAAATGACACTTTGTGTTTCTTTGTGTCTTTTTATGCAGGGAACTTATTAAGTATATTAAAAATATGGATAGCTTTATGAGGAAATTTTTTAAACCAAATAGTTTGAATATATAGGCAGGAAAACATCATGAAATTAATTGGAGTGATACGCTGATTAACTGCCAGCAGCATCTGCATATGTGAGCATGTTGTATTAGAGCTGTCTGACACAGTTTTTTGACGTAGACTGTGTGGACATATTGCAACGCCTGTTTTGGAAAGAACAGTCTGTGTAAGTCTTTATTAACTTACATTTCATGAAAGATACTAACAACACTTCACATATCTGTATCCATATATTTTGAACGCTTGCAGGATATAAATAACAAAAGCTGTTTGCTTGTTTCTAACATACTTGTATATAATGCAGCAAAACAGGTTTTTATAAATTAATGCCTGATAATTTGTTACTGTGGCAATCTGCAGTGCCATAAATTAGCGTCTTTTATGAGTGTGATAGCAAAGCTGTTAGTTTTCCTGATGGGTAACATTAGTTTTCAAATGAGAGGGTTGTACATAGGTGCTTCATTCACTTGCAGTTTCAAATCAAGGAAAGTGTTTAAAAAAAATCCATATAGAGGTTGCTGAGTTGGTGATTAAACTATTTTATAATTGTTAATTGCTTGAGATTTTAATCAAGAAACAGTTGTGTTTCACCTGGGATTTGTATCAGGCACCACCTGAGTATGCTATTGGAGTAGTGATGGACTGCAGTTTCAGTTCTCAGTGGCGGCAAGGAATTTTTCTCTTCTTTGCAGTATCCAGACCATCTGTGGGATGCACCCATTCCCCTGTACCAGGCATGTCAAACGCGTCAATCGCAATCGCGGGACGGTTTTTGGTCGATCTCATAGGCCTATAAGGAAATTATACATGAAAAGCATGTAAATTCACTTTTAATATAATATGATTATATTCAGATTTTGAAGGGAAAATATATATTAGTCATTCCTATTTTTCTGTTCTTATGTAGCTTACGTAAAAATTTCTTTACACTTGTGTTAAGTGAACTGTGGGGAAGTCCCTACTCTATCCTTATCACATGAACTCTTATTTTTACCAGTAGTTCTGCTTAAAGCAAGGTACAATGATAGGAGGGGGTGATAGATCACTGACAGTTTTAGCACTAAAAAGTCAATCACAACCTGTTTGAAGTTGAACATGCCTGCCCTGTACAGTGGGTACCAGGGGCTGTTTCAATGGAAGTAGAGCAGCTGGCCTGTGAAGCACCTCCATCTAGTGCCCAAGTCAAGAATGGTGGAACTATATCTCCACTCCTTCATATGTTTTCATGGCATAGTGCTTAATCAGTTAGGCACAAGGACACCTTTACCTGTTACCTTCCTGAGTATGAGGCCTGCTACATTGTACCAGTCTAGTTGATAGAATACCAGGTGGGAAACCAGATAACATATTAAGGGGCTAGTTTCTTGTAATAATGAAAATCATACGTAGTAATATTCGGTTTTAAAACTAAGGAGAATTTATGGTTATATTTACTTAAGGATAGACAGTGACTGATCAGTTTCTTATTAATCGTGTTTTCTCTTAATTACAGTTACATATGCAGAGATTATGTGAAGAATTAGTGTCTAGTAGATCAAAATTTGCATCTTGGGATGAGAGAATAAATCAGGCTAGGTCGGCTTGTGAAGCGTGGCAACGAGAAGCTGAAGAATCCAATAGGAAAGCAAGTATAGCAGAGCAACAGCGGGATGAAGTATGTGTTATATGCTGTAATCTAACTTATACTTTCTCTAGGTTGCTAGGGTCTAAATATCATTGCTTATAGAGAGACATACTGTAATTAATAATTATATAAAAAGATGACCTTTCAGTTCTGTGAACATAGTGAGAGAAAATAAAGAGAGTATTTACTCTTCTATGAGACAGCCCACTTTCCTAGTGTCAGGTTTTGAGAAATAATAATTTTATTATTAACGGAGTTAAAAGCCATCATCATGAACTAAACTTTCTTAAATATATTTTGCAGTAGTACCTGCACCAAGTAATTGCCCTTTGTCCTTCAGATATTGCATATTGAGCTCAGAAACACAGAATTTTGTTCATGTCCTTGAGTTAATTATTCCCTTCAATGTTAACAGTTGCCTGTTAACTTTAAATTATCCTATGATGTTCATGAGAATGAAGGAACCAGTATGGCGTCTGTTTCTGTTGCCTCTGTATTGTTTCCCATGATCATGTCATGATTTAGCATATGTTTTTAATAGGCATAATTACCATAAAGACATACGAGAATAACTTTTAATACGAATAACATCAGATAAATATCAGATGTACAGTAAACTCTTCATCGTCCTGCATGTGTGGGGAATGGGGTGTGCTGGTTGCATAATGAAAACTCTTGCAGAGTCCAATTTGTATTGTTTCCAGTCTTTTGATATTTCGTTTTTCTGTTTCAAAGTCATAGTGGATTGGTGGGTGAAAGATTTTTAATATACTATAATGTGATAAATTCAACAAACCTGCACTGTAACTGCCCGTCACTACAATCATAATGGCACCTGCGTTAGGATGATGGGCATCGATGTTAGTGGCAGCCAGGAGAATTACTGTACAGCCGGTGAAACTGCGTTAGGTTTGTTTAGCTTTGTTTTTTAAGTAACTACATAAAAATGATAGATTTTCTTTGAAATGTGCGTTGGTTGCACAAGAGTTTTTGATGGTTGGATACTGGATAGCTTATTTACTGTGCCACATTTTAAATCTTATTGATCAGTACATGTGAACATTGGGCATTTACAAAAGAGCACCGTTCGTCAGTTGGCACATGTGGATTTGTTTATGCACACAAAAACATTGTGGCATGTGGGCCCATTGCTAGGCAATGACCACAAAACAAACAACTATTCAGTGTCCATTATTAAGCAACGGCCCATAAACAGAAACAGTGGAATGGTGTTGTCTATGCATGGTTCATGCTAAGAAGTTATAAGCAGAGTTGAGTTAAAGTAGTTGGTTGGTGAGTTAGTGAGTTAGAGGCCTGCAGTTCAGTTGTTGTGAGCTGTTGCTGTTATAAGCTGGTAGCTGAGACCAGGGACAGTTAGAAAACCCAGAAGAAGGGGAACGGCCACCATTGGAAACCGCTACCAAGCAGCAGCTAGTGGAGACTTTAACATACTGAGAACACTAGTCTGTGTGTGATAGTGATTTGTGAAGTGTAGTAACAAGTTCTGTAAGTGCGCAGTAAATCTGAATAACAAGCCAACCCCCATCAGTAGTCACTAAAACCATGTGAAATCTGATGTCAGAAGTGGGGTTGGGTTGGATTAGATAGGACTTATTCAGTTGAACCAAGAAAAAGTGGAACAAATACTGGAATGCCTGTTGGCCCTCCAAGAAGAAATGTAGGCCATATTGAAACTGGCTATGAGGAAATAAAAGTCCATCGAGAGAGGATGATGGCCTTAATGAAGGCCAGCCTGGAAGAAATGGAGTCTGTAGTGAAGCACCAGGAAGTCCCTAAAGATGAGACTGCAGCGGATACTGAAACATTGCTAGAGTATGCTGGGGACTGGTATCTTGACATAGTTTGCCACCAGCAGCTGAAGAAATGGACCCAGGGCAGTGGTGAGTCCCACAAGAAGTTGGCCACTGCCTGTAGATGGATGACCTGCCATGTCATTCCTGCCCGGCATAAGAGATGCGGTCATAAAGGACTGACAGTTGAGATGAGAAGACAGAAAAAGCAGACCAAGGACTATGTTGTATGAGGAGCCCATAAAGCACAAACATTCCAGAAGAGATGACTGGTGCAGCTGAAATTCAGCACCAGCATAAGGGCCCAAGACCTGAAACAGGAGCTACATCTGGGAAGCAAGAAACATTATATGACGCCCTCAGACAAACTTGCGAATAGGAGGTTGTGGTGTGAGCAGTCAGAATTTCCATTGGATTGCAGAAAGTGAGTGACTGGTCATTTTGCAGGGGTCATCCCCCTCTAAGATGAAAGAAGAGATGCCCATAGCACAACTCTTGGCTCTGTGGTGTTTCATATAGGACATTTATTTTACTTATCATGAAATTAATTTTAAATTTCACTGTTTGTATTTAATTTTTGTTGCATTCCTCCCACTGGGATATTTGCTTGTTTGTTTTTTGTGCATATAACCTGCTTCTGGTCTGAGTGCGTAGTAATAATCAATTTTCTTGTTTATAATTGGAGAACGTGGTAGTGTAGTTGGTTGAGGCACTATGCTGCAAGCTGGAAGGTCGCAGGTTTGATCCCCGGTGAGGTCATTGTTCCCCCCCCCCAATTTACCTAATCCTTCCAGCTGCAGTATGGCCCTAGGGTCAACTCAGCCCCTAACAGAAATGAGTACTGGGAATCTTTCTGGGGAGATAGAGGGCAGCCAGCGCGTAAGGTTGACAACCTCACCACCACCTGCGAGCCTATTGTCTAAAAGATGTGGGAACCTCAGTGTCTCACAGCCTGTTACAGGGATAGCTTTACCTTTTTACCTCGTTCGTAATTTCAAGAATAGATGAAATTTAGAAGTTTTTAACCATGGTGAAGTAATAGAATGATAAATTTTTGGAACATAATCAATGGTCATAAGTTTCATATGAGCCCAGGCTCCGAAACATCTCAAGTAAATAGGTGTTGTTGTATAATGTCCAAAAACTAGATTGCTGTTTTTCAAGAGTAGAATTAATGTAAAGAAACTGGTACCGCAATTTGCAAACAATTTTACTTTTGGAAATTCTCCATGTTCTTGGTATTTATCAACAGTTTTAATTCCTGTAGTCCTTTATTTTCTGTGTATTTAATATTGTAATTCTGTTTCAGGCATTGTCGCAAGCAAAAGCTCTGCAGAAAGAAGTAGATTTATTACAAGGTAGTCCTTACCTTCATGGTCTTAGAAGAGTGTCAGAACTGAAGACATTATCACTTCCAACATTAAAATCTCTACAGGCACAACTGAGGTCTGACTTGGAAGAAATTGAAAAGGTACTCTTGTACTACTGTAGAACAAGATTGCTAGATGGCATTAAAGATACTCTTTCTTAACCAGCATGCTCCTCTCTCTGTTCTTCCTCCATTATGTTTGATAAATTTCTTTTCTACCTTTATTAAATTTCTTTTGGCTTATTGGTGACTGTTGGTGACACTTAAAAATAAATGTTCCCCATGTAAAAGATGGAACTTTTACTAATCTCTGTATATGTTGGCAATAAATGTTCCCCATGTAAAAGATGGAACTTTTACTAATCTCTATATATGTTGGCAATAAATTTTCCCCATGTAAAAGATGGAACTTTTACTAATCTCTGTATATGTTGGCTAAGTTCACTGAAGTTAGATTTGTTGAATATGGGTGAGATTAAACTGCTTGACTTGCTGATATGTTACATCTGTGCTAACCCAGCCATTAACTTTTTGCTGTGTATATGGTAACTGGTACCGAAGATGTAAGCTTTGATGTTCTCACAGTGGCAGTTAAGAGGAGTTCTGTCTCCTGGGATATAATGCTGTGTATTCCATTGAAAATTAACATTTTGGTCGCAGAAAGCTTGCTGGTTTCTTGCATGGCATATTTTTCAATTCTGAAGATTGAGGCAACATGTTCCTCTGAAATGTTGATTTTCAGCAAACTAAACAGCATTATATCCCAGAAGATGGAACTCATTTCAGCACCAAAGGTCTTTTAGGATTACTTCTTCGATTAATGATGAAATGTGCAACAGAATGGCATCTCATGCTCTTTGTTCTCCTTCGTTACTTTTTTAAACTACAAAAGGTTTTTAGCCAGTTTGTTTCAAAATATGTATTTAACACACTGGTTACTGGCAAGTTAGAATATAATCTTTACATTATGAAACGCAGATTGAATTGATTTCTGTAGTTGGACAGGTTCGATGAACATGGGCACATTTGTGCCACTGCATTTGAAAACTACACATCTAGTACCCTGCATCATTGTCATTATCATATGTGCTTCCACCCCTCAGTTTTTGGTATAGGGCCAGCACGTTGTTTCTCTTCCTCTTATAGCAGGAGAAATTAGTTTGGCATATGTTAGTGTGTTGGTTGATTTCTTGAGATTGACTTATGTGGTTGGTAGACAGAATTTGTTAGCTGTAGTAGGTGGCCTGTCTAAGCGTAGGGAAGGAAATCCTGGATAAAAACCCTAGCCCTCTAAGACTGGGGGCTTTACAACAGATCTGTACACTTGGTCGTTGACTTAAGACCGACTTCCGTTCTGACGGACAGGTCGTAAGTCGATCTGGTCGTATGTCGGCCATATATTTATTAACAGTATTTTTTAATCTTTTTATCATCTTTATAATTTATTTTTTAAAACTTTTACATTTTAATCATCTTTTATTTCTCATTTTTTTGTTGTCGTAAGTACGGCCGGTTGTAAGTCGATGGTCAAGTGTAATCTGCTCAAGTTAAAGAAAAAGTTACTCAAAATACTGAAAAGTCCAGGAAGGCCAATAAGAAGATGGTGCAATATGTGAGGATGGAATGGGGTAACAAGCTCAACCATTGCAGTTGATGATGACTAAATCTCTTGGTTCTGTAGGGCTGGTGGCCATAATTTAACTTGGGGGGAGGGGGGCTTTGGTATTGTCAAAATGCAATCCTGCCCTATTAGACTGTATGCATGCTATATGAAGAATATTACAAAATTCATCAGTCACTCAATTATAGTCTGCTTTTGAGGTACCACATTTGAAGATGTGTTTCTTTCTTCACAGGTTATCTATCTGCAGACAGCAACCAAGTGTATGGTATGTGAAGAACGCAATCGCAGTGTCACATTAGCTCCTTGCAATCATTATGTGTTGTGTAGTAATTGTGCTTCAACTCAGAAAGTATGTCCCTACTGCCAGATCCCTATAGTAGCTCAGACTACAAGCATGCCTTTATAATAAGACACGTGGTAGGTATATACTATTCCATTACCGTACTCACTCTGCATTAATAAACTTATTCTATCACATTACTGCATAATCATAGACCAAATGAAATTTACAATTAAGCAATGAATGACCTGTGGGTTTTTCTTGTATTGAGCTGCTCTGTTACTGATAAGCATAAAATGCCTCCCCTATACTTGTATTCGATATAGAGTGTGTGGCCAAAGCATTTCATAAATCAAGACTACAGTAAAACCTCATAATTCCATACTGAAGGGACCAAACATTCAGACTTTGTGTAATGATGTGCTGTTGCCATGGAAAGGAATGAAGTTTTCCGATGTCCTTTAAGTGGAAATATCTGTTTAATATCATCCGTGTGTCTCACACCAGGTAGACACTCTTATATATATTACTTGTGACAAGCGTCCCTTCAGCTGTCTTCATATGTGAAGGGTAATTATGATAGTATCACTGGACATTAGTAGGATAAGGGGAAGATGTGAATACAAGCTGTGGTTGAATGGAAGGAAATCATGCTTTCCAATCTGTTGCTAGGCAACAACCGCAAAATAAGCAACTACACACAACAGCCATTGCTAAGTAATGGCCTGTAAACAGCAACAGAGGAATGGTGTTTTCTGCATGGTCCATTCTGCTGGCTGCACACACAGCAGTGGACTACGTCATGCCATCGCTAAACAACAATGACACTGCAACAGAGGAAAGGTGTTTTATGCACATCCTTGTCACAGTGTTATAACCAAGACGGTTTCTGGGGAATTAGACAGTCATTCACGCACTAATCCACCAACCAACTCTTCACTGACTCCACCCCACCAACTGACTTGCTTATAACATCTCAACACAGACCACACAGAAAACACTATTCCTCTGGTGCTCTGCATTTGTTTCTTAGCAATAGCATGATGTATTCTGCTGCTGTTTACGGCCATTTCTTAGCAATGCTGTTGTACAGTTTCTAATTTTGCAGTTGTTTCATATCGACAGGTGTACATGTCACATTTCTCCCTCCATAAGGCTATTTGTCCTGAATAGCCTACAGGCATATGGCCATTTCTTCTTTTCTGAGGGCTGTGCTTGTGACATCTGTATTGCCTGTTATTCTGTAAGGAAGAATTAATGATATTAATTTACTTTGACCTAATTAATGAAACTAAATTATATGGATTCCTTTTGGGAGAAGGCTGCAAAATCTGCGTCATACTAGGAATTAACCTTTATCATCCAAGGGTTGTATAACTGTGTGGCGAATATACTGGTTCAACAAGTTTAGCATCGCTTACTGTCACACAGTTTGCAGTATCAATCCCATTAATGCCAAAGTTTAAATCCAGCCACCAATGTATTGGCAGGTGAAAATTCAGATCTGGGCAGTACAGGTCAGAGAGGTTTTACTGTATCTTGCATGAGATTGGGGTGGACTTTGACGATTTTTAAGTCTTGGTTGTGGGCAGGTATCTGTTATTCTGGATGATTTTAAATTTCTTTGCAGTTGCAGAGTTCATTAGTATATTCGACTTCTTGACTGATATCTTGAGAAAGTGTATAACTCATTCCCTCTATTTTGTAAAAGTTTCTTGAACTCTTTTTGTATTTGAAACTGGTTTACTTCGCACTTTCAAGTTTACATCATCTTTGATAATTACACATACCTTCTGTTCCCTTTTCCTCTTCTGAAATTAATCAGCCATTATAGACTACATTGAATGAAGATAGTACATAATCTTCACAGAGATAAAATATTGTTGAGAAGGTGAAAATGTGCAGATTTCAGTTTGAGTCTTCACAACAATGATTGTAAAAAGAATTTTGTTTAGATATGATCTGGATTGTGAAACTGTATACTCTTGTACCTGGATGCCAGCATATTAGAGGATCCTGCTGCCTGCATCTTCACTTCCGTGCTGAAGATGGAGACAGTAGGTCATGTGAGACTACATGGCATTATAACCTAGAGGACTACATCTAAATTTTTACCATCTTTAGAACCGCAAATCATAAAAGAGCTACATGGTAGTCATGTCACCAATGGCAAAGACAGTAATTCTGATTTTTGCCAGGACAGCTCTGTGAAATCTGAGAAATGTAATCATGGCCCTGTCTTATCAGAAGCTGCTGAAATGAATTGTAGATTGGTTAGAAGTATGCTTAATTGGAACTTCTGACGGCAATGACTGTGAAGGTGAGGGACATGAAGACGTGTAGTTCGGATAAAATTTTATCATCGTTTTGGACTTCGGGGAGTGAATATCTTCCCTACTTTGTTTATCCAGTTTTTACATACGTAACGTTCCACTTATTTCAATTGTGAACTTCTTTAATGAATATTAAACTTTGATATTAATTATGTTTCTGATCACATTTACTTTTTGTTCGAACAACCATTTTACAAAGTTGGTGCTATCTCCTGATGTGGCTTTTCAGACAAGCTGTCTCTCATGGGGAAATTCCCTGTAGTTGCATTTATGTGCAAATGATGAAATAGAATAATGTTTTATTTACCAGTCCTCACTCTGGTGGAAGAATTGGAAACTTCTTCCAACAGTTCAGGATTACCAATAACACAGAAGGTCAGTTTACAGCTGCACTGTGTAGAAAACTCATTATATTCTTTATACATTATACACATACATTTTTTATTCCATTTTGTATATTTACTTTATAAAACCCGTACCATTTTAAGCCTTCAGAAGAAATAGTTATGGAACTGGCCATGTAGGGGTGGCTGAACATGATAGGATATCAGGAGGCTAACTTTGGTCCCTTTTTTTTTTTTAACACATTCACTGCTGAAATTGACATTGATTTATGTTAATTTATCAGACAGGCTTTAATATTGCCAACATTGATGTAAGTCTGTTTAGCACAGCTCTTCTTATAACTTGAATCTGATTGCAGATGATTGCATAACCAATAAATTGAAGCTGATTGAAGGGTCACTTATATCACAAGGCATTATTACCAAAAGCATTTTTCCCTTATCCCATTTATTTCCCAGTTCTGTACTGTTTATTGCACACTTCTATTTAGTCTCAACAGTAACAAGACAGCCTATAGTATATGAGGCAGAGCTTATCTCTTGTGCACAATATTGTCTTTATGTTTGTGGGTTCTACCAGAGCACAGGCATTGTAACAAATAGCAAATGTACAGACAGCAGCATATTGCAATAGAATTTCCAAAGTAAAGTACAAAACACCAATGCATAGTGAACAGTGGTGCCCTCTTCCATGAGAACATCAATGAGTTATGGATTTGAGAAACTGGACACTGCCACCTAAAAGGGCACCTTTTCAAATTGGGACCGACAGACGACCCAACTTGTGAAAGGTGCCTACAAGAAGATGAATCAGCCACACACATCCTATGTGATTGTGAGGCTATAGCTTATTTAAAATATCGCCACCTGGGTCAATTCTTCGTGGAACCAAGTGACTTTTATGATGCCCCCATAAATAAAGTCCTACATTTCATTCAAAGTGTAGGATTACTAAAGGGTTAATCCAAAGGGGAAGCACAGTAGATCATTGAAGGTCACAGTGTGAGGGCCGGTTTTTATGGCTCACCCCTGATACTCATATGGATTTGAGAAGAAGGTTGTTGAAAACAGTGGAAGAGCTTGGACAGACAACATGAAAAACAAAAGTGTTGGTTCTGGTATCATAATTCTTTTATCAGTGGTATTGTCATTCATAGGGAATAAAATTAAGGCCAGTTTTGAAGAGCAGAGGAACAAGTATTTTCCAGTTATTGACTTTTCTTATGTTCATTCCAATGTTGTCTATGTAATACTCTGAAAGAATTAGCAGGCTTGCCAGTTAGTTACCTGTCAAAGAGTGGGTTGCTGCCTTTAAGCCTCTGGACAGACTCTGTGTGTCCACATGTTCTCCAGTTTTGACGTAATATTTATCCTTCTGTAACTAGTATGTCAGAGGCTTCTTAGTGAAAATCAGGGTATGCCATGAAAATTCAAGGTTATCACTTGGGGAGGACAAAGACGTCCTTCCCCTTAAACCCAATAAGTTCTGGCAAAATTTCAGAAAGATTTTTGTAATACCTTTGAAATGATGGAAGGTTTGTTTTATGGCATCAGTGTTAGGTCTTATTAAGCCTGATACCAGAAAAGCCTTTGATGAGCACACGTGAGCATACAGAAAAGACAGTTACTGGAATGGGGAAAAGGCAGATTTGGTGATTATGCTGCAAGAGTTACAGTTTTCACTGATGTTAAAATGTTTACCACCTTCTCAGACTGTATTCAGTCTCTCACACACTCACACCTACCCCAATTTAAAGAGTTGGATTCAGTGCCAGTGGTTGAAGACTCTGAAGCTAAAGTGGTCACTTAAGAAAAGCAAGATGTACTTGTTCTCTTCGAGAAGAGTGACTGGTTAATATAAGTACTGCCACTAGTGTCAAGGAAATTGCCTTGAACCCAGTTTGTGCGAGAAGTGATTCATAACATTAACACACTGGTTCAAAAGAGTAGGTTCTTTCTTATGCATTGTCCACAGCAACTTTGTTAACCTTCTTGAAGGTTAAGGGGGTCAGAGGAAACATTTCTCGACTACAGAAGAATGTGAAGGAACTGACATCTGTGAAACCGTAATCCATGTTCAATTTGACTGCAAGTACTCATCTCAATAAAAAGTGACTTTCATGCCACTAAAACATGCCTATAATAAGTAAAACGTCGACTGGGTGTGGTGATTGAAATCACAAATTCACGCAGATTTGTTACACTAAAGAAGATATACTTGACAAGATGTTACAGTGTGCGTCAAAAAGAACATCAAAAGGGAAACAATATTTATCTGGAATTTGCAGAATTTTTACGGCTGCTACAAATGGTATTCCATCCGTAATCTACTGCAGGCAACGTAAAATGTTGACATTTTTCTTTTCCAAAATTTGTGGCTTTTTTCCTTCAGATAGTGCCATCTAGCCCATGCCTACAATTTAAACCCCAATGTTTTAAATTGAGACCAGAATTTAGAAGCCTGGCAGTGAATGTGTTAAAATGTTACATGCATTACTTTTAACACGTGCAATGCATATTTATGGAAGGATTATCAAAGTGACACATGAAGTATGTTTTCTACACAGCAGGCATTGAGGACTATGTCTTTGGTAAGCTATATTTCTGTGCCAGCTTTGTAAAAGAGTGCTTGTCTTGTTGAAGTTCATCTACCCTATGATGTAAGATGTGTCATAATTTGTATAGACAACTATATGGAAGAAAATTCTTGTGTATGTTTCAGTTTCACACTGGCATATGAATATCAGGAGTGGGTTGAAAATAGAATATGTAAGTTTTAATGGACATAATGACCTGCATAATTATGACAAACTCATTCCAACAGTAGATAGAGTATACCTTGCTCCCGTATAAAAACAATTTATTGTAGTTCAAACACGAGATTTCCCACCTTATAAGAATACTACATTTATTTTGTTCCTTTTGTAACATTTGCCTTTATATGTCCAGTGTATTTCATGGCCACAATAATTTCATGTTTTATGTAGGAATCTGATACAACTTTGTTGTGTGATTTGTAACACTTATTTTGCCAAGACTTGTTAATTTTGTGAGGTTAAGATTGACTGGCATTTGTTAAACTATATGCGACACTTTTTGACTATAAATTTGAAGATATCAGAATACAGTATGAATAAAAATTCTGGAGCTGTATGTGAAGGCATCTTCTGATTCATTTTGATTTTTTTAACATTCCAAGTGTAAAACATTGCTATAAAAGTACAAAAATTTCTTCCAAAAATATTTTAAGGAATTGTTTTAATGTTTTCCTTTTCATAGAGCAACTTAATCACAAAAAACAGTACAAATTGAAATTGAATGTTGAAATGTAATTTTAGTGAATAAATTATAATTGTAGTTAATTGTTGTTGGAATTATCTTGAAAATAATTTGTACCTTTTTTATTTACAGTAATTCCTAATAGTATATACAATTACATTTGTGGAGGTGAAATGCATTAATGACGTCAAAATATAATTGATGGTTCATGATGTTTTAAGTTTAAACTCATTCCCCGGCCCAAACATTCATCTCCCAAGTCCCAAAATTTAGAGCGTGATTTTATACCCCCCCCCCAATCCCTTCGCAGCCACGGTGCCTCAAACCCCGGTGTTTACTGTAGAAGTTGAGGTCGTTACGGTTGATAAACGACCTCTTTCGTCATATATTGTCTATCCACGCCGCCCACAAAGATGGAACGCAGGCTGTAAACGTCAAGTGAAGTAAAGTCTACCCTGCTGCACACTAAAGGCAAACATTGCTATCGTCACTTCCAAACAAAGGGCAAGGCAATAGTTGTACAGAATGTCTTGGTAACAGCGTTTATTAAGGGTTCGGATCGCACGTCGTAAGTACTGCAAATATGAAATACGATTCTTCATCAGCTGCCCTAATGAGTTACTGCAATAGAACGCAGCCGGTTCCAAAATCTGACCAATAACAATGCATTTTATTATAACCAATCAGATTGGAGATTTTCATAATCCTGCCCAATGAGAGACAGTTTTATTTTCACCAATGAGAGTGGAGTATCATGTGACGTGTCACCAATTGGGAATGGCAGAATATCAGCGTCGGTTTGTTATTTGAAGGGTTGGTGGTGCTGTTATAGTGACGTGAGAATACTGGTGGTATTCGGAAATAGGTTTTGGATATTATACCGTTTGAAGTTTGGTAAGTAAACACGTGAGGTTTTTTTATTTTTTTTTAGTAAATCGGTTTTACCGTGACTTTAACACTATATTGACGTAAATATTCTTTTGCTGTGTAATGTAGGAATTTTGAAATTTATACGAGGAAGTGTGTTGGTGTTAGAAGGCGGGGGAGAACAATTGTATGCCGCCATTTTTTGTTGGCTTGCACGCATTCCATGTAAGTCATGATAGACGATATAGTAGTGTACGGTATACTTCTTTGAGTAGATTATTTGTTATGGAATTGTAGAGGTTATAATTTGGGGCTCAAGTTTCAGTTTTTGATATATGCCAATTGCACTCAGCCTTAGATAATTTCGTAATGTAGTTTTTTCGTTTCATAAAGGTTGAGAAATGGCACGTACAAAGCAAACTGCACGTAAATCCACTGGTGGAAAGGCTCCCCGTAAGCAATTGGCCACGAAAGCAGCGCGCAAAAGTGCGCCTTCCACAGGTGGAGTGAAAAAACCTCATCGTTACAGGTAAAACAGTAGGAATAAGCGTAATGTGATATTGCATTAAAAATTACTGGAGTAGGCAGCAAGGCTCCTTTTATTTTTTAGGCTAGTTATTTTGGAAAAATTACGTTGTCTTGTGACATCACCTTGCTCTCTGTAAACCCCCCCCCATAACGCCTCAAAACCCAAATTGTGAAGCTAAAAGATAGTCCGTTGCTAGTTAACGGCTCGATAAACACGAATATTGTGTAGACTGGCCCCATCATACACACACATCCTATATATGATACAATAATGTACATACTATTAAGATGTTCCCTTAGTAACTAATGTGCAAGGAAAAAGAACTGTTGGAAGTGTTTTCTATGTGGTCCATGTATTAAATAGTTGCTTCTGAGGAAAGCCGGCGTGGAGGCGGGTTCAAATTTGGCCACCATAGCCCTGCAAGTCCCAGGAGGCAAAGAAAAGGGAACCCAGTGCCTGGGATTATAACTGGGAGACACACTTCCAGGGGCAAGTAAACATGGACCTGTCCCACCAAGTTGGGGGTGTCTCAAATCTGAGACAGTCATGAGCTCCATGGGGCTTGGAACCGAGAATTACTGTGCTGGGGAAGACCAGAAGCAATTGAAAATGACAAACGTCAACTTTTGTTGGGCATATTCTTGAAAGAGAAACCCATCCTGTCACCAGAGTATGTTATAAGAGGACTTCGACTTGAAGAGTTCAGTTTGAAAAAAAATCTGTATTCAGCCCCAAGGGGTTTGGCGCCAAGACAAACTGATTGGCAGTAAGCTGCCAGTTATAAAGTAATTTTTGACTTGCAGAGTTGTGAGATAGTAAATTATGTTCATGAGGCCTGCAAGGTTTGGAACCAAGGACGACTGCCGGCAGCAAGAGCCAGCAGTAGTTTACTCACCTGTCTGATTACTTCCCAGACCATGTTTAAAATGAGGAAAATTATGAGAACTGATTGTCTGTTTTAGCGGCCTCCGTAGTCTAGGGGTAACATTCCCACCTCATGATTCAAGGTACGTGGGTTCAAACCCGGCGGAGGTCGTGGAATTCAGGGAACAAGTCCTTCAGGAGGGACTTTAAGCCGTGGGTCCCGTGTCGTAGATTTACGGCACGTAAAAGATCCTCATGTCTCTAGGAGACCTCTGAGCAAAATTAGGCAACAATTTCCCGTCCAAGTAGTTTCCAATGCCTCTGGTAGATGGGGGAAATATCAGGTACTGGTGGCCGACCCCATTGGCTGAACGGGGCTGATAGCACGCACCAGTACTGGTAGGGTATGGTGACAGTAGAAATTAAAGGGGGGCGCACAATGGACCAATAACTGGTCTACAGTAGTTGTAAACAAATGAACGTGGTATCTCCTTGGCTCTTTGAATGAAAACATGCAGCGTTCACGTGATGCGTGTATCATTGCAGGGGTGTCCAAAGTTCACTCTTCAGTCTGAATGCAGTGAGTACACTGAGTAACTGCGCGCTTTGTCCGCTCCTTGCTGTCAGCTGTGGCAACTCGGGGCTTGCTTTGTTTACGCTAGCTGTCTTTCTCTGCGAATGGACTATAAGTGCATGGGGAAACCCACCCCCTCTAATAATAATAGTCTGTTTTCCTTTGATATGATGTGGACCACAGAAAATTATGTGAACAATTTTTTGTTGATATATTTGTATTCTTTGCAACATGAACGTGATTACAGAGCTGTTAACCTAGCAATGATAAGAATGCACCTACAGATGCACAGGGAAAGTAGGCTAACAAAGATGAACTGTTATGGCAAGTACTGTCTTTGCTGGAGGATCCAAATTTTTGTTCTCGCATGTGGGATGAAATTGATGGGTTCTAGTTCAGATTATTGGATTTATTAGTACTTTGGTTACAAATTCTCTTGATCACATTTAGATACAGCACTATCGCTTATTTACACAATTTCCAGTTCACTGTTGCACATGCACCAGGATTCTCATTTTCCACCTGTCGGCCTCATAGAGACAGATGTCAACACGAACTAGCACTTCAAATCACTGGGAAGTCTTCTGGACTCTTCGCTACATTTCACTCTGCACTCCATAACTGTTTGAAGACAACTGAGGAACAAGGGTAGTTGGTTGCCGCACACAAACCTGATGAACTCCTCATTACTAAGCCGTTGCCTAGCAACGGTCATCTTTTCTGGCTTCACTACTCTGGCATTCAGGTGTTGGGGGTGGGGGGTACATAATTGTCATAAGTCTACCCCCCCCCCCAAATAAGATAAAGGGATACTGTTGCCAGCATGAAAAAGAAAAAGCCATCTCTCTAACAGGCCTTGAAGGCCCATGGGGTTCTGAGAAGTTGAGGTTCCCACATCTAGAGTCAGCCCACAGATGCTGGTTTGCTGCCTACCCCCTTCTCTTGGAAAGTTGATGGCTGTAGGAATGTTGCAGCAGCCACATTAACTGATAGCACATTCATTTTCTTTGTAGGCCAGGTACTGTGGCACTTCGAGAAATTAGACGATACCAGAAATCGACAGAGTTGCTGATCCGGAAATTGCCATTCCAGCGTCTCGTTCGTGAGATCGCACAAGACTTCAAGACAGATCTTCGCTTCCAGAGTGCTGCCATAGGCGCTCTTCAGGCAAGTGTACACCTTCATTTTGGATTCAGATGCGCTTTCAACAGTACATGGATTGTTTTGTACTGAGGAGTTCAGTAAGACTTGTCAAGGGTCTGGAGCTGCAGTAAGGGCATGTTATCAGTATTAATTAATTATCTCATTAGACTCTTTTTGAAGCGTAAAGAAATGGTGATTCTCATGTGGTTGGTCTATCTTAAGATCTGGCCATGGCCAGAAAGTGTAATATTGTCCATTGTTCCATTTCTGAGTATTAAATTTTAGTTTTGATTTGGGGGGGGGTGAAGCCTGTAGGTAGACAAGTTTGAGGTCAAATTGCTTTTGGTTCATGTCACAGCCAACATCAGAATGGGGGTTTATGACAATATGCATTTTGGGTAAGGGTGTTGACAGATTTATTAACATTGAAACATGGACGCCATAAGAAATGAAGGTAGAGTTGAGAGGAGAGTTTAATTACAAATTAAATTCATGGTGGAGTTGGAATTCAAAATCTGATTGTAGAAGGGAAATTGATATAATGATTTGACCATTTATGTGGTTCTATTGAAAAGAAATGCTAAAGATGGAATTAAAATGCAAGTGTTAAGTAGAGAACTGTGTTATGGCCCAGAACAAGCTGGGTTAAACCAGGTATTAGAGGGGAAATAACTCGCAAGAAGGGATTGGAGATTTGAGGCTTTCATGGCGGTGACTATGAAGAAAGCAGTCTTCTGGGATTGGAGGCTTTGATCAGTTGTCCTGTGTGAAAGGGAAGTTTGTAGGAAAAGAAGTTAATGTTAATCATTACTTGAGTAGACTTTCTGTGTTTTTGTTCCATCAGACCACAAAGGACTAAGAATTCTTTTGGTGCTTTCTGAAGGGATTCCAGGGTGAGATTTGTGTGGGAAAGAGAGTTAATGTGTTATTCCGTGAAATTATTGCTTAGTGCCGTCTTAGTTTAACAGCTTGTCGTACACGCCTTTGTGTTCGATGTTTGTTAGGTCGGTGATTTAAATATTTAAATCAATCTGGGGACCGGCATTTTTAAACATACTACCCTAACTTGTGCACTGTTCACTTTAAAAATTAATATAAAATCTCCTAATTAATTTTTTGATGTTGTATTTTAGTGCACTCAATTTCACTTGTTATTTCACAACATGTTTCGGCACTATAGTGCCATCATCAGGTGCTCCATTTACGTTAATCTTTTTCATTGCTTGCCATTATGTCATTGTAAAATTTAAACAGTATTTAAAAATGTTCGTCATTTATACACTAAAAACTTGTTAAGGTTATTTATCTTATCTGTCCCAATTTTAACACCGCACATAGTTCCACCACTGTGGGAGTCGTTCCTCTTACTCTCGGTGTATATCTGCAATCGTGTCTCGTGTTGTGTGTCCCCTGTTTGGTTGCGGGTGTCTTCATTTTTTGAACTAAAATTTTTGGAGTACACTTGCCAATGCTCCTAGAAGTGCTTGGGGGTGTGATATTTCTGGAAACTTTCCCCTTTGTGAAGTGGCATTACACAGAACTTGCAAATTTAGACATACTCCTTTTTTTTTTGTGAACTGTACAAACACGGCATTGCCTAGAAGTATTTTTCCGCGTATCACTCAAGAGTCGCCTGGGGGGGGGGTCTGCATGAGGCCTTCGTGGGGCGGGAGTTGATGTGCCCAGTTGTACTAAGTCTTTGTGTGGCCCTGGTTCTGCCACCACCATCTGGACTGTAGCCCAGGCCTATGCCACATTCATCAGAAATGCTTTGTATTTCAATTTTGAATCAGGGTTCAGAATTTTTTTTTCTGTCCCCGCAATGTTATTACCCACATTATCGCCGGAGCCACCATCACCTTTACTGTCTGTGGCCACAATTCTTTGTTGTCCCCCATCACTGTCACTGTCTGAATGACAATCCATTACTACGCGTCTCATAAGGCAGGTCAGCTAGGTCATCGGAGGAGAATTTGTCCTTGATCCATTCTCCCCACTAGCTACTGGCTGATACACACAGCTTGAAGAATGCAAAGCATTTTCCTTTATAGTCGGTTAAGTAAACAGTGAAATCAAGTTACTGACTGCTAACTAAACATTCCAGAGTCTTATCACGCATCTGCAGGCAGTTGTGTGCAATGTAGGTGGCGCAAGAGCGATGTATAGTGTGTTGCAACTTATCGTGTTCTAAAAACCTGTTAACACACGAACGGTCCACCATGTTTAAAAGCGAAAAACCTTAAAGGGTGCACGGTCCGCAAAGCGTTAACAGTTTGTCATACACTCCTTTGTTTTTGATGTTTGTTAGGTTAGTGGTTGTATGTTGAACTTAGTTTAACAGTTTGTCATACACTCCTTAGTTTTCGATGAATGTTAGGTTAGTGGTTGTATGTGGAAGTTCAGTGAAAGGAGCTGTTCTTAGACACTACATCATGAAGGCATAAAGGTGACATTGAGTGTATGAAAAATAGAATTCAGGCTGATGAAGTTCTGCCAAGTATGCTTATGGTGAATGTGTCCCCCGCACCCAATTATTTAAATTAGGCAAAGTTATCCCTGTAACAGGCCGTGAAGACCCATAAGGCTGAGAGTTGTTGAGGCTCCCACATTTTCTAGACAGTCGTTCACAGATGGTGGGACTGTCAGCCTTACATGCCAGCCCCCCTTCCTTTTTCCCCCCAGGAGGATTCCATGTACTCATTTCTGTTAGAGGCTGAGTTGGCCCCAGGACCATAGCACAGCTGACAGTATTAGGTCAGTTCACAAATCAGTGAAGTCGTGGGGAATCAACCCATGATCCTCTCGCTTGTAGCATAATGCCTCAACCAACTATGCTACCATGTGCCCCTGCTCTACATTTTTGGTAAAGGGATCTTAGTGACCCATAGGGAATGTTCTTGGCCATGGTATGTATTTATGGCGCTATGAATGGAAATGTGTTGTCTGGTTATGTCATAACTATATATAATTTGTTCATCTCTAAATTCTTCTGTATCCTTCTGAGATTGTCGTTATTTGCAGTTGAATAATCCACCTGTAGTGAGTAGGTTTTTTTCCCAATATTCTCTGGAATGCTCCTAAATGTATTAGTAATCACCTAGCAGCTAGTCTTGGTGTCCACAAAAATTCACAAGAAAATTGTGGATAATAACCAAACTTAACTTGGAAATTCTAGGTTTCTGTACTTAAAGAAAAGCACAATGTTAGTGGCAGTCATGTTATGTCATGGTCTATTTCTTGGCGTGTGCAACAACAACAAAATTGTGGGAATGTTCCTGTTCTCTTCTACCTGTATGTTGGTCTGTCCATCTTAAGAACCCATGAACAAATTTTCACAAAATTTATTTTTGGGGGTCCAAATCTGCAGTGCATTCCAATGTTAAATGCATGCTTTACATAAAGAACCATGTGTATCAGGAGTACAGCTCACTAAATATTAATTGGGAACAAAAAAAATGTTCCACACAAAAGTTAGAGAAAATAAAAGGTAAGTTCCCTTGCCAGTACATTCTTCTGTAAGTGTTAAATTTTTGAGCAATCTAAGTGGGAAGTGGGATAAAGTTTGCCTTAGGCTTGCAATTTGGAATTTATCCAAGTTGCTCCTCGAATGGAAATATTGAGATTGTTGTGATGTTTACAGGAAGCCAGTGAGGCCTACTTGGTGGGTCTTTTTGAAGACACTAACCTGTGTGCTATTCATGCCAAGCGCGTGACCATCATGCCAAAGGACATTCAGCTTGCTCGACGAATCCGCGGTGAACGTGCTTAAACAGTTATAGCTTAAAGACTTAAGAATTTCTGTATCAGGATATGTGGTGGGTATCCTGATATCACAGGATCAGTCATTGTCATTCAGTTCATCTCCACAGTCATTTGTATTCAATTACATAAACCCCCTACAAATACACTGCCAAGGGTTGGATGGTACTCAGTTTTGCACTGCTTGTGGTTCATTTGAGTTGGCTAAACATAATGGTGGCATTGTGAGTTCCCACAAGTTCTTTGCAATGTTGACCTTTTTGTGTCTGTACGATCAAGTACTGTATACAGTTAGTGTCTTTCTGGAGCAAATTAATTCTTGAATGGCTTGATAAGATGGTAATATTTAGTGGGTGTACGTAATGCAGTAAATCTCGACATTACTGACAGATTTGAGTTCTTAGTTACAAGTGACATATTATCTTGTGTTGTGATTCTGTCATGACCAAATTTGGTCAAAATTTTTAGTAATTAGTAAGAACTTCTTTGCATATCTTTTTGTACTAGTAGTGCTGGTGTTTCAATTAGATGTAGTTAATGTATTCATCATTCCTGTGGAAAGGGAGTTGCGTTGTGTTTAAAATGCAGAAATTTGAGAAGTATTTTACATTTACATCTTGGTGTTTTTACAGATATTGATAACCATTGATTAGGAAGTATACATAGCAACTCTCAGATTACCAGGTTATACAAATAGATCTCCATTTTATTTGTGCAGTATTCATGTTAATTACAATTGAAATAAATATAATTTAACACTTCATATTTGCCAATCTTTTGTGTTATGCTGTCCCCTGCCCCCCTTAAGGATGGGTGTTTTTATTTGGAGGGGTCCTTTCATACTTCTGTTATTCTTCATGTATGGAGGAAATGTTCATGGAGATTGTCACAGGTAATATGTAGAAATAAAAGGATATATGTGGTATTAATTACATGCCTTTATTTTCAAATAATGTGCCTTTTTATACACTATTTCTTCTGCAGCTCTTTCAACCTCTCTACTATTGCTGAAGTATCCTGCCTGTTCTCCAGATTATGTTTGAGTGCTATTTGCAACTGCCTCTCCTCCAGTCCTTCTATCCTGTCATACAAGGTTTTCCCTAGTTCTTCATCAATGTCGTTTTCTTCCCTAAAGACGCAGAAGTAAAGTAGAAATACAGTTAGGCAACCAGAAACGATGTATGGCTGGTATGAAGGATAGTTGTCAAGGTGACCTCCACTTCTGGTCTTCTGTGCCTTCCATGTGTATGCTTTGCTTTTTGAATACTCTACAGGTTTATCAAGTTCATCTGACTTTTCAGTACTTATGTGAGCTGAACGGACTCCAAGCCTGGAAGAAAAATTCATAATTAGTGGAGTTCTATAGATGGTATCATCCACAGATAAGCTGTAGCAGATGCTTTATTTCAGAATGGAAATTGTGTTGTGTCTAGTTGGCCACAACAACGGACATTCATGCAGATGTTCTGAAACTCTTGTCGAGCTATAATCATTTCTAAATTGCGTGGTCCAACTACAGTGGTATTCTAATCACATGGCTCTAAAGAATTCTTGTAATAGCAATGGCCCTGAATGTGTAATAAATTTAATTCCTGTTGTCAAATCATGGTCACAATATAAATTTACATACTAATTCATTAAATATTTGGTTCTGCCATGAAATCACATTGCACACAGTTTTAAAATGAGGTTTTCAATAAACTAAGCACCATGCCATGAATATCTGTGGAGAAGTGGATGTATAGTTGCAACATTCTTAATCTGTGCACTGCATGTGAGTGGTCAGTTGCTTCAAGCCCTTTCTACTTTCATCATCTGTTGTAGAGGAGGCTGAGTGGGACCTAGTGCTGGTCTGGTCATTGTAGGGAGATTCAATCTCCTATGACAGGGATTGAACCCACACTTCCTGGTAATCTAGCCTGTAACGTAGTCAGTAAATTGACAGCTATCCCAGGTTAGATAAAATGTAGAAACTGTGTAATATGATTTTACGTACTATTTTTATTATTATTACTGGTGGGGTGGGACTAAGTCCCTTGTACTGCGGCCACTTCTGGCCTATTGTACCAGCCCCAGATGACAGGTGAGGGTGATTGGCAGGGGAACTGAAGTACAAGGAGAAAACCTGCCACTTTGTCCACTACAAATCCCACTTGACCAGACCTGAGCCACTGCATACATACTACTTAATATCAGTGTTTAACATGAAATATCCAGGTGATCTGTGAATGGATTTGCTATAATGGTACCATGTAGCAAACATTGGCACAAGAAGCCCTAGTGTGTTCCATAAGCTTAAATAAACATGGAGGTAAAAAAAAGTATATTATACAAGGTAAAGTCCCTGTGCACTAAATAAGCACTATGCCATGAAAGGGTATGGGAATGTGATGTATTTTTCTTGACCTTGGCACTAGCTTAAGGTGAATGGCCAGCTTCACACCCTGGCCACTTACCCCTGGAGAGAGAGCCTCCAGCAGCCATTGTATAGGAGGTTGGGTGGACCCCAAAGCTGGTCTGGAAGACCTGGAGAAAGTTCTTCACCCTACCAGGACTTGAACTGTGACCCATCAATCATCCAGCCCATAGCTAGTTGCTATGCAAAGTACAGAGTACATTTTTCCTTTTCCAGTTCACATTTATTGAGCAACTACACGACATCTGGGGGAGGAAAAAATGGCCTGGCAGTGGTAGAATTACTCTTGGACCAGGTGATGCCAATGGGCTCTCCCTGGGATTGCTGGTGCATGAACCTGACCACTCTCCTACTTGGGTGCTAAGGCTCAGGCCTGATGCCTATTTCCACGCCCTGATACAGTGCTGCGCACATAGCTGTGGCTAAAAAAATACACATACGAACATTCAGTAAGACTGGGAATGGAGACTTTTTCATGTAGGTAAATTAAATTCCAGCTTAATAATAGGGGCATGATTCATACTGATAAGCAGTATGGAATGAAATTTGAATGTGAAGATTGAGCATGAATGTATGATACTATTATGTATACACTTGCACATGATAGTTGCTAATTATTAGTGCACTATTTGGTGGAGGCGTCTCCAACACTTCCATGCTCCGAGAAGAGTAACAGCACAAATATGACTAAAAATAAATGTTTCATGCTCATTTAAAGGAATACTGATTTAAAATATCGTTGCAACTACACCAAATGGTTTGCCCCACAGTGATCTGTTATGGGTCTGCCCACTCATTTTCTGAAACTATATTTCACTGCTGTCCAGAAACAAAAATTAGAATATACAAAACTATAATTTTGCCTGTGGTTCTGTATGGGTGTGAAACTTGGTCTCGACATTAAGGGAAGAACATAGACTCAGGGTGTTAAGGAAAATATTTGGACTGAAGAGGGATGAAGTGACAGGAAGTTTGAGAAAACTGCATGAGGAGCTTCATAGCTTGTACTCTTCTCCAAGTATAATTAGAATGATCAAGTGAAGGATGATGAGGTGGGCAGGTCATGTAGCACGAATGGGGGAACGAGGAATGCATATAGGATGTTGGTGGGATAGCCGGAAGGAACGAGACCACAGATGACCAAGGTGTAGGTAGGTGGACAATATTAGAATGGATCTTGGACAGGATGGTATGGATTGGATAGATCTTAGGATAGGGACCAGTGGAGGGCTCTTGTGAACATGGTAATGAACCTTCGGGTTCCATAAAATGCTGGGAAATTCTTGAGTAGCTGCAGAATTGGCGGCTCCTCAAAAAGGGCTCAGCTCCTTGAGTAAATAAGTAAGTAAATGTTTCACTGTTACTGGATTGTGTAATTAATTGGCAATATTTAACTTGGTCATATTATTTCCTTTGTCAAGCTGACATTAGATAACCACTAGAAAAAGTGTTTAAGTGCTTATTACTATTTTTGTTCAAATTTGAGGATGTTACAGTTCTATTGAGAAGTTACTGACAGAATTTCAATTAAACTGATACAGTCGATCCTTTTCCATTCTTAGGGTGAAGTGAGACAGTCCTTTGGTACTTAGGCCATAAATTGTCCATTCTACTTTCACTGCATGACACAGAAATGTCTAACACTTGGTGTAATGAGAATGGACAGTGAAAATTGTACTACTGTGAGAAAGCCTGTTGAATGCCATCTTGTATACTACAAATCCCATATGAACTAGCCTGGAATTCAATCACGCAGTTGAAGTGAAAAAACTGGTGACCAGGTCATTATTGAGAACAATATCCTGAAATGTCACTGAAGAAAAACTGGCTTCAACATACTTGGAAATATCTCTTATTCCTTTTTCGGGAAAACGTTTCAAAACCGTAATGACACTGTATTCGTTTTCCAGTACAATATTTCCCATGATGTGATCTTGACCGTCTGATCCGAAAAGTGAAAAAAATAGCTTAGTCTGAAATCATCTTAACTGCTTTCTTCTTAGCGCTACCGCTGTTTTAAGTTATTAAAAACGGCAGTACTTTTATCAAAAGCGGTGAAATGTAGCACGAGTAGTGTAATATTAGTTAAAAATAATTCCATTATGCCTTAATCTCTTCCGTTTTGTTGGCTTAGTTACAAAGTTCGGCACTACTTCGATTTCAAATAAACGGATACTCACGAATATTTTCATACTCAAACTGAACGAATAACAAGACATAGGTCACCTCGTTGGATTGACTCCTTCGCACTGTATCGCTAATAGGATTAATTTCATATAAATGAACTATTTCAAACAAATGTACCTAATTGGTCTGCTCTTATCCCGTAAGGCAAATAAAAATGAACTCTTCAAAATTGATTTCACTTGCGCCATCTCAAACATTTAAGAGAGCCATCTTGAATCTATTTTCAGCATTTTGACCAATATTACCAACATTGCGAATGTTCTATAAATTGAAACAATTATTTCACGGAAGTCGATGAGGGCCGATGAGGAAGGAATTGCTATTTGTTGGGTATCACGCTCAACTTAATATTAAACAGAATTTTTAATAACTTGCGGAAAAAGAAGAAAGTATGCAATTCGCCAGAAAATGATGATCTTTCTCTTGGTACCAAAATATTTGTCTGCCCATCAGTTTATCAAAAAATAACACACATTAGGGTATTTTTTTATTGCTACTGGGGTGGGACTAAGTCCATTGTATGAATCTGACCTTCACTAATAAAAGTAGAGAATAAAGTTGGCCCTGTGCTTAACTACTACCTTATGAAGGTGTATGGGGGAGTGGAAGTATAGATCCACATTTTCTTGACCTTGGCACTAGCTTGAGGTGAGTGGTCAGCTTCACGCCCCGGCCATTTTACCCCCGGAGGAAGAGAACCCAGTACCCCTTGGAGAGGAAGCTGGGTGGATTCCAGAGCCGGTCTGGAGACATGGAGAAGAGAAAATTCTTGACCCTACTGGGACTCAAACTCTGACCCCTCAGTCATCCAGCCTATAGCCAGTCACTATACTGACTGCGGTATCTTGCCTCCCCACCTTCAGTCATACCAATATTTAAACATGTACTTATTCAGTCACTAATGGAAAGCCCTTTAACGTCATGATCTTGTAATTCTAAAAATAAACCCGAATGTGCACATGTTGGAACACTGTTGCCTTCCAGGACATGATATTTTTGCCCTGGCAGATCTTGGAAGAACTTCCACCAGAAACAGCAGCATCACATCCCAGATGGCATTGTATGCATTGTGTGTAGTGTGTCCTTATTGTTCGTGTAGTTTAGTTTGAGTGTGGTGTGTTATTTTGTGTGATGTATGTTATTTGTGTGTTTTGTTTTATTGTAGTAGCACTGCCACTGGGTAAAACCCCATTTGAGTCAAAATAAATAATAATAATAATAATAATAGTAATCCTCATGGTTGCTGTCACTGAGAACCTAAAATTTTCGTGCTTTAATCTGGTATTCCAATCTCCTTCCTAGCTTCCTAACAAAGATATGAGATTCTCATTGCAGTGGTTATGAAAAGTTTTGTCCTCTGGCATATAACGTCATGTGGTCTGGTGGAGTGAGCTAATGTTTCAGATGAAAATATTACTTCCATCTTCTGGGTTGATGAGAAGTCAAACAGGAAACCAGCATGAAGCAGGCACCAAGCACAGCTTCATGCTGGGTTTTTGCTTGGCTAACCCTTCAAATCATCTTACACTTATACATTTATAGCTTTGCAATGACAGAAGAGATAACAGATTACCATAGCTCTCGGTTCACACCTTGTTTATTCTTTTAATACACCCACGTATACAAGACAAAGTCTCCAGTGTGATACTGGAAATAACTCCTATAATCCTGAAGAACTTGAAATTGTCTACCTCTTTGTTCGAGGTATTCTTGAAGAGTTCAGAACTTGTTTCTGCAATTGTTCCATTTGTTTCTCTTGCAAATGTGATTCTGCTGTTGTCTGCGTCAGCTATGAGAAATCACAAGCAATGTTACATTAGAAGACACCTTGAAAACTGATCACTAGGCAACATCTGATCTGTATATCTTGGAATAAAAAACATTTGCATACCATCATATGTAGCATATGTTCATTCCAAATTCAATTTTTCAAACTAGATTCACACATATGTGACACTCACTGCAAAATATCTCAGCTGTTTTGGTGCCATGCCCTCCTACCCATCATAATATTCTGTGTATGACATACATAGAAACAAAATATAAAACGTTCCACACAAAGTTTCAGTTATTGGAGCCATGAATACAATATAGCTATTGATTTTTTATCAGTTTTCCAATCAAACATATCATAAAGAATCATAGCACATACCATATCCAGTAATATTTCATACTTTAGTTTCAATAAATTGTTTTCATCTTCAAGTTGTTGTACATATTGCCTGAGTTTATGATTTTCTTTGTGTGTGCCACTCACAGGCCCAGTCTCTGGAAACAATACACAACTAAAATTTAATTATTCAAGGATGAGATGTGCAATCTTAATAAAATAATAAAATGTTTTGTAATTTGCCATCAAGTTCCATGTTTCCACTTTTAGGCATACAAATTTTGTACGCTGAACAGACAAATAACATGATGCCTGTGCTATGGATATATATGGTTTGCAAAAATATATACAGAAAAAATATGCAAATTCTTGTTATTTGTACCAAAGAAAGCATACAATGGATCATAAGTTTATAATGGGTGGTGCAAAGAAAATAATATAAAAAAGGTATAAGCAAAGGGTCCTACAGACTTCAATAAAACTCATATGTACATAGAACTTACCTATGTATGTGTATATGATTTTTTTCAGTTTAGTTTACTGATTACAGAAACAATTTTTTAACGTTCTGAATAAGCTATCAGAAGAACTGTAGTGACACAGGCGTTGAACCTGAACAAGTTGAATAAACGTTTCCATTTCATACCTATATATGACAAAAGATGTTTCGGAAGAAAAGTTTATTTTATTGTGAAAGATGACGTAATTTGTACACTTTTACTCAACCACGTTATAAAGCACTATCTTTGGTATCATCACACCTTTAAAACCCGAAATGGATCGTGAAAATTGATTTAGTCAGTTTCAACTGAGGTGCAATTAAAGAATTACAGCTACTGCTTCATTAGTGCAGATTTACACAGACAGTACCTGTACAAGTTTCAACATTGTGTGCTCATTACTAATCAAAGGGTACTGTTTAAAACATTAAGTAACACTGCACGTCATAATAAATAACAATTCATACTATTTCTGTTACCTGGTAACCATTCTCCGTTGTCAAAAAGTGATTCCTGATCTCCCAATTTCAACCTTATCGGTCCAATTTCTAAGCCCAGGTCTTGTAACGCTTTCTCAGGCCCAAGTTCCTTATTAAGTACTGACAATTCCACTTTTCTGGGAGTAGGCTTTTTGGGACAAAACTTATTTGAAAACAGAGGCATTCCCCACTTCATCAAATACGAAACCGCCACTTAAATTGGTATCACTGCTCCGTACCTACGTAGTTAATCCATGACTGTACTAGTCCCATTTCCGTGACCAATAGTCGCGGATGCGTGCTCTCGTGTCCACAGATGAGTAACCACGGTCTAGGGACGAAAATATTTCATATCAATTTCGGGTGCGCCCATTTATAATCTATGGTCATTATAATCTGTGATCTTTAAACAGTTTTATGAATTTGTAGATTACGGGAATATTCAATTGTAATATGTTGCGTAACCACACTTGTATCAGTTCTTTTTTCACCAGCCAGCGTGAATATTGAGCAATTTATGTCAGCTGCCTTCTATATAATGCTATATAATCCGTGCATGGTCTTTGCTCTCGTTTGACAACGAAAAGATAGTAGTCGTGTGGCATGACGAGGCGGTGGTATGATGTATATGAGTTTAGGGGCCTACAGACAGCTCTTGAGCCGTTTGTTATTTTGATAGGGACCGGTAAAATTAAATGGTTCGTACGCTTTCTTGTGAATTTCGCGAGAGTTCGATATTGAGGTTGTAACTTAAAAAGGATTTGTTCGGGAATGCCACTTACGTTCTGGACGTTTTTGGTATGTTTTGTTTGGTTCAAGTTATATATGGAATATAAGCTCATGAGCTCATCGGTTTATTTGTTCAAGAACGGCTTGCAAACAGTTTGACGTGATGTTATAACCAGGGCCTGGATTTTGATGACATGTCATCTTTTTTTCCTTGTATCCTATGCGATGCTTTCGGATATGAGCTGCTGGTTACAGAAATGTAAATTTTATAGGTAATTTTTTTTTTACTTTTAAGGGCATTTCTTGTCATTTTTGGCCGTTTTAGGTTATTTTTCTTCATATGTTTTCTGAAATGTGAATAACATGGAAGCGAAGTGTTCTTTCTTTTCTCCTTTAGGTCATTTTTCTGGTTTTTTCGGTCATTTTATAGGTAATTTTTTAAGTATTTTCAGGTCATCAAAATCTGGGCCCTGGTTATCACAAACTATCACTGATTATCACACATAAACTCTTCTGACCACGCGTTCGGTTCTTCTTCTTCCACGGCTGCACGGCTGCTATACTTCAACTGAACTTATAACGTCTTCTTCACGTTCGCAATTCACTCGCAACAACTGAACCCGGCGACTGCTAGACTTCAACTGCATACGTGTATATACGTATATATACATATTTATCTTTATTTTGTTTCACAGTTACAAAAGTGTTTTTCGCTATCGAAAGCTTGTTTTACATATTATGCCGACCTACACCACCGAGGTGCGCCTAACAATACGATGTACATTACTCTCAATGATATGGTGAACGTTAGATATGACGTGGCTTCGAAGTAACAAATTTCCGATTTAAACTCCATAGTGTATGAATTCACTGACTCGATAGCACGAAGAGAGCCGAACTACTTCGGCATTTATCGGGAGTGCTATCGAGGATAGAGAAATAGAGAAGGCGCGACAGATAACCGCCTGCACAGTCAGTTCGCTGGGTAGTGAGAGAATGGGAAAGCAGTGTTTTCGTTAAAAGCGTCCTTAGATGGTTACGTTCGTGTATGGCCTATATTTAGTATTATTTATTTATTGGTTACTAATATGTGCCTTTGTTTTCGTATGATTTATTAGGAAGGAGTATGTTTTCTAAATTTAATTGGATATTTGAGTTTGTTATTCAATGAAACGATCAGTGATTATTTCTGTTTTCAAAGATAAAAAAAACTTCGTGAGTGTGTGTATCAGTGTTCCTTGAAGGTGATTAATAAACGTGTGTTCTCCCAAATAAATGGAAAAAGTTGGAATAGTGGAGTTTTGTAATCGTTTCTAATTAAACAGTGCTCCTGTCCGCTCCTGTCGAACTGCAGTGGTTTAAAAAGAGTTTCTTTTACACATTACGGATCTGAAAGTGACGTGAAATAGTTGGGTGTCTGCCATGCGGATTGGTCACGTTTAATGTGAGTATTTATCCATTGCTTCAGCTATTATTTATTTTGAAACTGGAAACTATAAGCTAGGATGTTTTTAACAGCCTTGGTCAGGGTTTTTTTTTTACTGGTACGAATCTTTCTATACGAGCTGTCAAATATTACCAACCAACAGAAGCATATTGTCTAGCAGAATGGGGTAAGCTCCCATACTGACCATAAGCACTGGGCCCGTTTCACTACTTGGCTAGCCAAGGCCGCTTCAAAATAACCGACGTCCATGAGTACTGGTGTGTGTGGTTTTACATTTTTTTTTACCGTAGTATAGAATTATCAGTTGTGATTGGTTTTCCAGTGCGTACACACATTTCATCATCAAAACCTGTCACCGAATACGGGTTATCATTTCTTTATTTGCTCATTTAATTACTCCACATTCGTTTACTCGTTTAATCATTTATTTACGGTTACTGACCATGGTACAAGATAAATTCAGCATTCATTTACTTGCTCATGGAGTTGAGCCCTTCTTGAGGAGCCGCCAATTCTGCAGCTACACAAGAAAATCCCAGCATTTTATGGAAGCCGAAAGTTCATTACCGTGTTCACAGGAGCCCTCCACTGGTCCCTGTCCAGAGCCAGATCAATCCAGTCCATACCATCCCATCCTATCTCTCTAAGATCCATTTTAATATTGGCCACCCACCTACGCCTTAGTCTTCCAGTGGTCCCTTTCCTTCTGGCTTTCCTACCGGTATCCTATATGCATTCCTCTTCTTCTCCATTCGTGCTACATGCCCTGCCAACCTCATTCTCCTTGACTTGATCGTTCTAATTATGCTTGGAGAAGAAGTTATGAAGCGCCTCATTATGCAGTTTTCTCCAACCTCCTGTCACTTCATCTCTCTTCGGTCCAAATATTCTCCTTAACACCCTGTTCTCAAACACCCTCAGTCTATGTTCCTCCCTTAATGTCAGAGGCCAAGTTTCACACCCATACAGAACCACAGGCAAAATTATAGTTTTGTATATTCTAATTTTTATGTTTTTGGACAGCAGACAAGAAGACAAAAGTTTCTGCACTGAATGGTAGCAAGTATAACCCGAGTTAAATCTCCTCTTAATTTTCTCCTGAATCAGGTTTTGATTTGTTGAACTGTGCCACATTTTCAAAACACCTGTTTCATATCTCTATGTCACGATTTTGCCCTGCATTTTGGCGACGAGACAGCTACATATACTTTTTAACACAGTAAATATTCAGGCAGCTCAAATAACACGAAACCACTGATAGAACTTCTTCAGGCGCTAGATAGATGTACGTTACGTACCTGTATGTCCCTCAGTCCAGCCGGCTGTATCTGTTTCATGTTTGTTCGCTTTCGGGCCAACTCTGTGTGCGTGTAAAATTGTAAGATATTAGCTGGCTAGAATATCGTTTGAAGTTGAATGAGTTGTCAGGAATTTCTTCTCATTGAAAACATTTTGCGAATAGTTGAACGATTACCAGGAGCCGAGATATCTCAGTCGGTACAGCGACGGTCCACTGGCTGGACGGCTGGGGTTCGTTTACCGTTTCGTTTACTCCATAAATGCCCATACCCGATATGGGGCTTGTCCAGACACCCATCCGATGGTACCAGAGGCGTTTTCCTCTGGTTGAAGCGGCCGGTGTATAAATCTGACTACTCACCTCCATCTAGTTCCGAGGTCAAGTATGGTGGAGCTATACCTCAACTCCCCCATACGTCTTCATGGCATGGTGCTTATTTAGTTAAGAACAGGAACAATTTTACTTCTACCTGAAAGATTAGCACGTAACCCCGGGTGTAAAACACTGCGTAAGAATCTGCCAGTTTAGATCGATGAGTCGCAAGGTGTTCTCTACCAACTGCGCTGTGCGGGATAGGGTGGTGGAGGGGGCGTCTAGCGCTAGTTAGATAATGGACGATTTTCAAACGTGGCCTATAGTCCGAAAGCGAACTATACCGACCGAGCGACCGCCGCTTGTCGGCGAAGTTAGTGTCAACTTTTGCAGATAGAGGGTGTCACATGGTCAGCGCAACGGATCACCACGGCCGTTAATTTCGGTTTTCTAGACCGGAGCCACTATTTCCTTGAACTAGCTCCTCAATTGTCCTCACGAGGCCGAGTGGACCCCGTTCCTGACCCAGTACTTCTCAGAAAATCTGGTAGTGCCGGGAATCGAACCCGGGACCTTTGGATCTGTAGCCATGGATGCTAAATTATGAAATAAAGTGAAGAACAGAGGAGAGGTTTGGAAATCGCCTTCTTTTCCGACCCCACTCACGAACCGAACCACGGTTTGGAATATGAACTCCGTGAATTTATAGTTGTCTACAGTGTGCTTCTCGCAGGGGACACAGTTCGCATACTGTCACGTACAAGAGCGGGGGATTCCATTCCTAGAGCTAGGAAGTGCTGTTTGTAATGTTCTGTTTTCTTACAGCTGTAAAAGCCGCAAAAATTCTATACAGAACTTGTTTGCGACGACTTGCGGACGGAGTGTTAGCAGGTTTAGTAATAGAAGTTCCTAAATCAAATATAGCAAAGTAGAAAATAATATAAAAAAACAATTTATTGAAAATGCTTGTCTTGGAACCCAAATATTGCAGTAATATAACTATTATAATATATAACATATTTGTGTAGCCCTTAAAGCGTGGTTGCTTATATACCACATATTTTAACGCTGAAAAACTGTATTTTGTCATTTAGCGTATTTACTTGTTTCAGTTATTTACGTAATAGCATTAACCAGTTGGTCTATGCGATGGAAGAGGTTTCCTCAATAAGGGTGGAGCTAAATCTTTTAATATTGTTTGTATGAATTTCACGCTTCAGTGGGTGAAATAGCAGCAACAGATATACAAAATAGTTGTGTTCAATTAACTGATATAGTATATTGATTTTTTGAAGAACCATTATCACGAAAATATCAGGAAGTTGGTACAATTTTTTTTACCGTTGCAGTCGAAGTGCTTGCTCAGTGGACACACTCAGTGTCCTGTTCACAAGCCGATCTGTATTTCTCTAATGTTACCCGTGTATCTCTGTTTTGTCAGCGGGCCTTCTTCCGATTGTATTTAGCTGCCAGTTCTTTCCGTGTCTGAGATTGTATAGTGTCGAGTGAGAGGATGATTTACGAATAATTGATTCAAGAGGGTGCAGATGAAGCTGTAGGGGCCCTATTTAACGTATTGTCCCGGAATTTTCTTAGAGGGATGGCCGCGCTATAGCTCAAGTGGTTAGTCGCTGGTTTCCCACCGCTGCGGCCCGGGTTCGATCCCGGGTCTGGCCAAGTGGATTTGTGGTGGACAGAGTTACGTTGGGGCGGGTTTTCTCCGAGTACTTCGGTTTCCCCTGCTGATCTTAATTCCACCAAATTCTCCATCATAATCACCCGGAGCAGGCTACAATAGGCCAGTCAGTGGCCGCCGTGCCGAGTGGACCCAGCTGGACTCCACCCCCGCCCCCCACTAAGCGGTTAAAAAAAAATTTAGGGGGACTGAGGAAAATTACGAAGAAGCTCAGCGTACATAACCGGTCTCGAGCTATCTGTCTAAATCCAGAACTTCAGTCAGAAACTGAAAATATGTTGATTTGCAAGAATCCGGTGAGTTCAAAGTATTGGTCATGTCATAGTGCAGACGACTAGTCGTCGGCTAAGGGGGCGGGGTTAGGGTGTAGTCCCGTGTTAGTTTATGAGCACTGTGGTCTAGTGGTCAGTTCCTGGCTACAGATCCAGAGGTCCCGGGTTCGATTCCCGGCGCTACCAGATTTTCTGAGAAGTAGTGGGTCTGGAACGGGTTACACTTAGCCTCGTGATGACAACTGAGGAGCCATTTCAAGGAAATAGCGGCTCCGGTCTAGAAAACCGAGATTAACAGTCATGGGGATCCGTTGCGCTGACCACAGGACACCCTCTATCCGCCAAAGTTGACACTAACTTCGCCGACAAGCGGCGGTCGCTCGGTCGTTATAGTTCGCTTGCGAACTACAGAACACGGAGTATTTGGGCATAGATATGCCAAGTGATCTCGTTATTTCAGGTTTTCGAATACAATTCTATGTGGATTTCTTTTATTTCATATGTTTTGTGCCCGTCTCGTCTATCGCATTCTCCCTGAGTTGTCCTCATTAACTTGTTTATGTAACAGATGCTCCAGGTCCTCATAGAACTCTGCTCCATCACCTTTTGTTTTCGGATGGAGCATGCGAATTCAGAGCAATAACAGAGTCACACTGTCACTAATAAACTGCCCCTCTGATTCTCTTATGTAGAAGACTCATGGAAGTCCGTTCCTAAATGCTAATTAGCGTTCCTTTTACATGGAAGCGTCTAGTCTCCCACTGGATTAGTGACACCCGTGCCCTAACTTTCTCTTGCCCGTCTGTTCACTGAATTCAGAAGTACGTGATCTCATAGCCAACTTTCCTTGTTTCTGAAAAAAAAAAAAAAAGGAGGCTTATGACATCAATCACCTTGCTGTCTGTGATTGTCTACGTTTACTCCCCTTAATTTTTTTTTCCTTTTTCTATTTCATCCGCATCGTATCAGAAGAAAGTAGGCGATTAGTTTTGCCCATAACTTCTTGTTATTGGTTATTGTACGATGCTATCAGCAGCTGGACTCTATAACGTGGAATGGTAGAATGATGAATGATAGTTGAGTTGGAAAATGTCTGAAAAGCAAGCGGTCGTGGCCTAGTCGGCATTTGAGGAAACTACATGTGAGGGATTGGAGATACAGCTCCACGTATTCTTAGCCGTGGAGGTAGCTTTACTCCGGAGGAAAGAGCTTCCGGTACCCATTGCATAGGCTGTCAAAGTCAAAGTCACATTGCAACTGACGGTCGGTCAGTCAGTCAGTCAGTCAGTCAGTAAGTAAATAAGTAAGTCTTGGTGTCGAGCCCCATCTGGGCTTCATGACCATAGAGTGAAAGTCACATTGCGACTGACGGTCAGTCAGTCAGTAAGTCTTGGCTCTAGGCCCCAGAACCGCTTAT